GTCCAATATCTTTACGGAGTTTTCATAGTTTTTGGGCCAAAGTGAAATATTCATTTCTGCTACCATATATTTTCACTTCATTGAAATCTTATATCACATTTGTTTATAAACTCATGATTTTGTAAATAAAGTTCAAGGTTGTTATTCATTTATTTATGATAATATTCATGACATATCAAATGTCTCTAATTTATTATATTTTAGGGTATGTTCAGTTCAAAGGAAAAGAAGGAGAAGGATTTTAATGAAAAGGAGAGAGGGGAGATAGTTAATGATCCTTTACTTGGTTTAATCATAGAGAATGAAAGAAAAGGTGAACTGATAATAAGTTTATGATTTCATTCTTATTAGAATTATTTTTATTCTTTATCTTTTATTAAAAAATCATATTATAATTTATTAACTATATCAATGATATTTTTTGAAGAATCAATATATTAATATTGTAATTTATTAAGGTATATTTAATAAAAAAATTTGTTGGTATTATTAATATGATGAAGGTTTTGTATGTCAAATATTGTTTTCTCTTATATGTTTCTCTTTTTTTTTTTGATAAACTTCTCTTTTAATTTTGTTTTATATCTAGGGGAAGTTATATTTTTTACTTTGATTCCAATAAAAATATTGAAAATTTATACATAAATAAATTATTTATTTAATTTTATTGGGTAAAAAAACTTATTTTATCATAAGAAAGAAGGAAAAACGACATGAATTTTTAATATCATAGATAAATATATTTTAGAAAAATTAAAACATTGTGGATTAATTTAGTCAAATATAATTTTTTATTTCCTCTCCTCTCTGAAAAAACTCCAATTCAAAAGGGGGGGAAGAGGGATGTGTTGGGAGTCTTTTCCTTTTTTTTTCCCCCAATTGTTAAGGACAAAAGTGTGTTTTTATTGAAATATTTTCTTAAAGAACATTTAATATCTTAAAGTATTTGTTAAAACATTTTTATTTTTTCTAATAAACAGTTTTGGGGATTTAACGGTAGGATGGATGATGCTCCAATTTAATTATTTTAGGAGCGAAAAATGCTCTAACAAATACTTTAAAGTATTGAATATTCTTTAAAAAATGTTTCAAGAATAAAAATGCGTATCTACCCTTTTATCAACCAAACAAGAGGAGGGAACATACCTTAATATTTCTCTTGGTTTTGTTAATCTTATCTAGAGTAGAAATTATGAAAGATAATAATTTCATCCAACTATTAAATTCTCTTTATTGTTTTGAAAATAGGTAATATCAATAAAGGACCACTGAAATAATTTAATATTAAATAAGAACTTGGATGAATTGGATATTTGTTAAAACTTGAACTTTTATTTGTTAATTGTTGGTGTTTACTTATTACAAGTCATTGTCTAAAATTAAATTATTTCAAAGGTCTTTGATTGATATTCTCCCTGTTTTTTAAGTAGAAATAAGATTAAAGTATTTATAAATGACATTAAATTTTGGGAAAATGTAACTATTGGTTTCTAGAGTTTTAATGTGTTTTATTATTTGTCCAGATATTTTTTTGTTGCTTCAAATTTCTGTAATTTATCTCATCTATAATATCAATTCTTTTATTTTTTAAATATACTTGAGAGAGAGGTGAGGTAGTAAGGATGTTAAGTATGCGCCAATTTAAAATTGTCTTGAGTAGTAAGTAAGTGGATGAGAGTTTGAACCATAGCCTATGTATATATAGTAATTTAGTTAAAAAAATCTTACCCATTACTCTCTATGAGTTAAAAGGGTTATCATTGCAAACAAAATAAACTAGAGGGTGATCTAGTCCTCAATTATATAGGATTAACATAGTAATAATTCTTGAAGTATTGCAAGAGTTAAATTCAAAGGAGAATATATAAAATAGTTGTTGTTTAAATAAAACAATTAAGAGTTTTGAAAAGATAATTAATATTTGATAAAAAATGCAAATAAATAAAAATGATAAAAAGTGATGAACCAACTAATCAAATAAGTATTAGGAATTAGGATTCACCTACTAAAATGGTTTACTTTAATCCAATAAATTACTTTTTCTTTATTTATAGTGACAATCATTATTAAAGTATCCTCATCGCCTCTTAATAAATTATCATGTATTTATTTAAGGTTGAATAAGCCCTCGCTAATCCTATTGACACTTTAAATAAACCATTATGCCACGATCTAAGTAACCCCATATTTTAAATTATCTCTAATTTTGTTATATATGTCTATCTTTCTAAATCTAAGCTAATACTCATTTCGTCGAAAAATATAAGGCATTTTTAATCGAATCTCACCTCCCAATATAATAGTTATATATTTTTAAGCTAACTCTATCTTTTTATATTTACCCCTATTAAACACTCTGTAATAAATATAAAATTATTATCAATAGGGGCACTTTTGAAAAAAGTAATAATTACACATCAAAAGACTAAAATGTATTACATTTTTTATCAGCAAACTTTTCAAAAAAATACTTTATATTTTTTAACGACATCTTTCAATTCTTTGAAAAGCCCACAAATAAATAATATAATGGTCATTCTATATGAAAAGGAATTAGAACAAGAGATATAAATATAAATAGAAATATTAATTTTTCATAAACAAAAAATTATGTTCAACAGAAAAAATAAATAAATCTAAATAAAAGAGAAAAATCTATCTCAATTAGGTTATTTTTTGTTTTAATTGAGAGTTTCAAAAAAACTCATAAAATTAAAACTACAATCCTAAATAAAAAATATAAACATAATTTACAGAAAAAAAGGAGAAACCTCCTAGTTTGGAAGAACTTCTTTGAAAGCTTTTGAAATGTTTATTTATAATTAATTCATCGAAAGGACATAGAATTCGCCTAGATCTCACCCAATCTTATTTGATTTGATAATATTTAATTTAAAATATATAAAATATTACATCATAGCTTGACACGCGTTTTGGACTTCACGGCTGCATGATTGGGCTTAGTGGAGATGCTCGCGCGTGGATGATTATCGAGGAAACCTTTCTCCATTTGGTCCTGCGTGCGCCCGTGATGATCGAGCTTCTTGGTTGTCTGCACAGTAGAATCGGAGATAAAGATCAAACTTAAAAAGTCCTATTTAAATAAAAATTTTTATTTTAACAATAAATTTTTTTAAAATAATTGAGTTTGAGAGTTTGGTCTTAATAAACCCTATAAAAAAAAAACTCAAACCCGAGCAGTCGTTCAAACTCTGTTATATTATTATTATCATTATCTTTGCTGGAGCACTTGTTCGAAGTCAATAACTTACTCACCTAATTCTATACTCATTATATTATTATTAATTTTAATTTATTTTAAAATTAATTTAATATAATTTAATAAATATTCGTATATAGTATAAAATTTATGATATTTTTTATTTTTCTATAATTATTATGTTTGTATATTTATAAAAAATAAATTATTTTTTAATTAAGATTTAAATTTTATTATTAGACTTTTAAATGTGTATTGTTTAATTTCTAAAAAATTATGAAGATTTTAATTTTTTTATTTCAAAATATTTTAATTAATTTATAATGTTTAATTTTATTTTAATTTTTTTAATTTTTGAAAAAAGCTTGTAGGCTCAACCCTAAACCCTTCATATAAGGGTAGGGATTAAGAAATGAGACTTAAAATAGAAAATCAGGCTTTAGGGCTCAAGCCCTTAAGAATCAAGCTCGCCCGTATTCCTAACTCTACCATGCACAGAGGCCTTTTATTTTAAGAATATTTGCGACAAGAGAACACTAGAGATTGAGGAACTGTTTGAAATTATTTTTATTTTATTACTTTAAAATTAATATTTTATAAAACATATTTTAAAAATAAAAAAATAATAAAAATAAATATTTTTTTATTTTCTTTTATTCTTGATAACAATAATTTCAAAACATTTAAAAGAAATTTTATTTTTTATTATTTAAATTAATATTTTATTTTTTTAAAACGTTTTTAAAAAACACATTATCAAACAATTTTTTTTAAAATAATTTTTTATTTTTAATCACATTATATGTTTTTATAAATCTACAATAATAATAATAATATTTAACAAATATATAATTTATGACTTATAAATATGTTCTTTACATTGAAAATATAGTATAATTTTTTTTTATAATTTGAAAATAAAATTTTTATTATAATTTGTAAATTGATGATTTATTAGTATTTATAAAAATATTTTGAATATATATTATTTATTAAACTCATAAGATTTATTGATTGAAATCATAAATATAAATTCATTGAGAAAAATAATATAATTTTATATTTAAATTTTTTTTCATTGAGAAAGATAACGCACCTAAACAAGAAGATGATTAATAATAAAAATCTAACAAAATAAATTTGCTTGATTGAATTTTATATTTATTTTATTTATTTATAAATTCTTTAATTGTTAATTTGCTTTAAAATGTAAAATATATATACATACATACATACATATATATATATATATATATATATTTGTATTATATAAATTTTAAATTATTAAAAAAATTTTGATAAATTTTTGTAGGCCAGTCCACAGGTTGGCTAACGTACTAGAAAATGGTTAGGTTTGCGCTAAAAAATTCAACTCAACTTACAAAAAATATTAAGTCACATGGGCTAACCTATAAAGAGGTTAATTCATAACTCGTTTGTCCAGTGCTACACATTAATTGGCCTTCATAAGGGTATAAATTATATGTAAATGCAGCTGAAATACTCATTTATCGGAGGATTTAAAGCAATCAAATAAAAGGACTGCAGCAAAGCATATAAAAACTATCGGTTTCCCATAATTTTTCAATGGGAACAAATTTATTAAGATAAACATGAAACTTGAAAGGAACAAAATCACATAGTAATATTTGTTTTGATATTGAGATTTAAGAGCGACAAAAACTGAAATAGAGTGAGAAGTTGCACTTCTTGCCGCCTTCTTGGTTCTCCTATAAATGCCCGAACTCGTCTCGAGGGAAGTAAACGGAGCTGCCTCCATTCATCCTCTTCGCTCTTGTGCCCTTCTTCTTGGACCATTCAGTACGGTCTGCCTTTTTTAATGTTTACTCTCTTCAGCTCGATATAGCTATTCCCGAGACTGTGCGATTGAGTGAGAGTGATAGACAGTGTGATCATGGATACGTATGCGCTGCATTTGGCCGCTGCGGCTCTGGTTGGAGCTTCCGTGGTGGCTTTGTCGGCTTACTACATGCACCGGAAGACTCTGACTCAACTTCTTGAGTTTGCCAAGACGGTAGATAAAAATAGGGAGAAAGACGATGTTTCCGCCGGTGATTCGACGCAGCATTTCATGAAGCGGCGTTCTCATGCAAGGAGGAAGGGGAGTGGGTATTACAGGCGGGACTCTGGGTCCTTAAACGATGTTATGGCAATCTCCGGAGGGAAGGATGGAGAGGAGAAGCGCAACGGTCCGATGCTGGTTAATGGTATCCCGGATGGGCTACCCAGCCTGCATATGGTTCACGAAGGTATGGCGTTGCTGTAGTTACCAGAGTGATGATAGCTGTGTAATCTGTGATTTATCTATGTTTCATATTACAAATGCAGTATAGTCGACGTAGTTCATTCCGGGAGAAGCAATTTTAGGACCCTGACCCACTACTTTTAGCTGTTACTACAAGTTAAAGTTAAAACAGGATAATGATGACTCAAGGTCTCAAGCTTTAATTTTGGTTATATAGGATTCATGTGGTTGATAAATAATTGTGTGAATCAGAACTGTTATGGACAATATGAGTAAAACACTTGAGATTGATGTATTATATATGCTAAAGGGATTCCTGTGTAAGCTCCTTGCTAGAATTTTCTCCTAATTGGAGAAAACGAAGCTGGTTTGAAAGAACTTGGAAGAGTCGGACGTGATATTTATATTGTGCTTATTGTCAATCTTTTTTCCCCTTCTTCCAGTCCAGTTAATTATTGTCCATTTGACTTAATATTGGAAAGTTTCACTTGATAACTGGAAGAATAGGAAACATAGATTTGAGTTCATAAGTTTCTTTGACATGTGGATGGTAATTTACTCGAGATAGAAAACGAAGGATAGAGCAACTGGAAAATATAAGTTATATCTACAATTACTAGAAATAAAATCTTATTTATTCTTAAATAATTATAGACGACTTTTTTTTTTTTGGATTTCCCAGTCTCGGACTGAATGAGCTAGAATTACTAATTTGAAAAGATGCCCTATGGTGATGCCATTTGGAGAAATTTGTGGTACAATTTGAAAGTGGTGGATGATGAAAAGCTATTGAGTTAGCTCCAGGCCTCCAGCTTTGTTTTGTAATTTCTGTTCGAGTAATTCATCCCCTTTTAATAATAAAAAAATGAATTAGACAGGAACAGTGTGAAATATACATATAGATGGTAATTTATCGAGGGAAATAAGATCTACATGGTTACACCCTGTATTCACCTAGCTGTCTGTCACAAAGTATGCTCTGCATGGCCATAGTTATGAATGATGTAGTGATCCTTGTCTTCAACAATCTTTGTTTGGAAAGATTATTAACATTCTGTTAGGCTAACCATTTTAATTTTGGGCTACTTAAAAAGCTAAATTCTTTTTTTCGTAGATATTGTATATTCATTTTTTCTCTTGGTATAAGCTTGTCTTCCCTGTTGGCCCTCCATCCCCACCCAGGAAATAATAAAAGGAAAAAAAGAAAGAAAGAGTAAGTAGTTTTGGTCTTGTCATGGATATCCTATGCATGTGAAGACAGACCCTAAGAATCCAAATAACTAGTTTCTTTTTCTTTTTGGTTTTTTGAGGTATCTCCACAGTTGGAAGCTTTGAAATTATTGCTTTGAGGAATTTGAGCGTCATTTAAGGAGTTATTCAACAATTATGATGAGTTTAGATTTGACAAACAGTGTGTCAGACATTTTAGTATCATGAAGATGTGGGGTTAAAGTTGGGGAAGATTGTGTATAAATAGCACTTATTACTTTGCACTATATATAATTGTGTGTGTGTGTGTTTAAGTATATTAGACTACTGTTGTTTGAGCTTTCTATGGCATTTACTCTTTTTGGCTCATGTATCTTACACGTAAACACGAGAGCTCACTGGTTTAGGGGTCAATCCCAATGTTTGTTATATGCTAAAAACTTAAACGTACGGTTACAGGAAAATCTGCACAGGCTGTTGACGAAAAGAAAAATCTTTTGTGGTCAACTTCTCCTAGGTCTCCTGTTTCTAGCGCTAGTGCCTTTGAAAGTGGGGCGGCATCAGATGATGAAGATAATATGACTGACAATGCTAAAGTAGATCCCAGATATTTGCACACGAATGGAAATGTTGTAAGTCTCTTATGGGGATTAAGTATGCATTCTTAGTAAAGCTCTCCCTCCCTCTCTCCTTCCCCTCTTGTTGCCTCCTTGCTCCTTTCCATGGTGTGCAAGGAAACCTAGTTTTCTCCAATTACTCTTTAGCTGCTTTTTGTTCATTGCAGGAATTAATGGTTTGCATCCAATAGAAGTTTGAATGATCCGTGGGAATGAATTAGAATTTTACCTATTTGCAGGGTATTGGGGCCAAAAACCCATATGAGAGTTTACCTGATCATGTAAATGCTGCTGGAGAGCAAATGTCGGCCGTTGCTTCAAGCATGATCCATTCTCATAGTGTTTCTGGTGACTTGCATGGTATTCAGCCTCACCCTATTGCAGCTGACATTCTGAGAAAAGAGCCAGAGCATGAAAGTTTTGCCCGACTTAATGTTACTCCAATTGGTATTGACTTTGGTTTATTTTTTTGAATGTAGTAAATTGCTTCAAACGTGTTTCTCTTGGCCTTTGTAAAATTCAATTCCGCTTCTTTTATTTATATTTTCTGAAGGGAATTAAAATTTTAAAGAGTTAGATTAAAAATTTTTAATTCTTATGTTTTCTGTTTAGAGGCTCCATCACCTGATGAAGTAGAAGTATATGTAATTCTTCAAGAATGCCTTGAAATGCGAAAAAGATACGTGTTCAAAGAGGCAGTTGCTCCTTGGGAGAAAGAAGTTATATCTGAGCGTGGTACTCCAAAGCCTAACCTAGACCCCTTCGTTTACATTCCTGAAGGAAAGTCTGATGTGAGTTACCTTTTTCTTTGTAAGTATTTCATCAGTCAAGACTAAGGTTTCTCAATTTTACCCTTTTTTGTGGTTAATATATTCTGATATGCTGCAGCATTACTTTGAAATGCAAGATGGGGTTATTCATGTTTACCCTTGTAAAGACTGTAAGGGCGTTCTTTTAGCATCTTTCCTTCTGTTTTGTTTTGTCTTCTGGGAACACCGACACTGGCTGGATCCTTAGGCACATTTGCTTACTATTTGCAGCAAAGGAAGAGCTTTTCCCTATTGCTGATGCTACTACCTTCTTCACTGATCTTCATCACATACTTCGAGTCATTGCAGCAGGAAATACTAGAACTTTATGCCATCATCGTCTTAATCTTCTAGAACAAGTAAATATGTCTAGACACTAGATTGTGGTTATGATCAGTCTATACTGTTATTTCAATTACTGATAATAAATTGGCTGATTGACAACTACTTTTTTGAACATTTTTGTATGTCTTAAGAAATTCAAGCTTCATTTGATGTTAAATGCGGATAGGGAATTTCTCGCCCAGAAAAGTGCTCCTCATCGAGACTTCTATAATGTTAGGAAAGTAGATACACATGTACATCACTCAGCATGCATGAACCAGAAATGTCTATTACGATTTATAAAGTCAAAGCTGAGGAAAGAACCAGATGAGGTGATTAGTTTATTTCTGTGTCATTGTGTAATTTGCAGAATTTTTTTGCTGTTTATGTTGCGTGAACTTTTCCTTTCTAAAGACTTGACAACAGTTTTCTTGTTTCTGTGATTGAAAATATTACCAAGTTGGTGGAAGTATTACTGCATGTATGTCTTTTAGGTTTTAACCATGAGGAGGTCAATCATACATCAGGCAACTTCCATGAACCTATTAAATTTTGAAATAACAGTTAGGATGTTTTGAAAAAGATATTAGCATACCTTTCAAGGTAAAATAGCAATTTCATATCACGAGTTACAGGAATTAAGGTTTTAAGAATGGTTGTCTCCTGTGTTTGCCTTATGCATGTGATATGTTGCAGTGAGTATTAACTAAAGTAATGTGGCCAGGGAATATAATCACTTAATGACTTTGTTTCGTTTTCGTTTTCTTTGTTTCTTTGTTCTGTGTGTGTATGTGTGTTTGTAAGGGGGGGGAGCGTGCTTCATCAAAAGGGTTGCTGTCAAATGCAGAAGTATGATATACTTTATGTTATTCTCTTTTGATTACAGATAGTACTCATTACAGCCTTGTAAAATTCTAACTTCATTCAGGTTGTCATATTTCGAGATGGGACATATTTGACCTTGAAAGAAGTTTTTGAGAGTCTTGATTTGACTGGGTAATATTATAACTACAATTATCACCCATAATTGAATTTTGTTGGCTTTATTTTGGAGTATGTAATCTATTTTCACGCTTGTTTGAGCAGGTATGACCTCAATGTGGACCTTTTGGATGTTCATGCAGACAAGAGTACATTTCATCGTTTTGACAAGTTTAATTTGAAGTACAATCCTTGTGGTCAAAGTAGGCTCAGAGAGATATTCTTAAAGCAGGATAATTTGATTCAAGGTAACTTATCTTCTCTAGCAGATTGAATTCCTTTGTGTTCGCTTCTAGCTACAGTGGTAGAACAACCCTACAGTTTTGGAGAATCTATTTACATAGTTGATTCTTATTTGTAGATTCTAATTCTGACAAGGGTTTTATAAAAGGACAAGACTTATATACTTAATATAATTTTATCCAATTGAATCAAAACAAGTGGATTTTTCATGTATCAATACAACAACAACAGGAATTTATTATAGAATAAATAATCTTTAAACGATACATATGTCTTGATTTAATTAGAAACAAGTATCTTAAGTATATAAAACTAAGTGTATAAGTTTTTTCCTTTATAAAATCTCATTGGATCTGGGATCATCTTAACTTTTTAATTAACTCTACATAGCACCCAGTAATTTCAGCCCTCTTTATTCTATTATCTGGATGCGAAAGACATTTTTTTTTGTTGGATTTTAGTCTTACTGTTCTCTGCAATATAAACGTGTATTGTTCCTGGCTTGTGTGTCTTCTGTATCATCCTCTATTTAGTTAGCATAATCTGGTTGCTGAAGACAAGGGAAGTTGGAATTTTACTGACTATAGTAATCTGCAGACATTAATTATATAATTAGAAAACTATTATAATTTTTCCTACGAAGATGCCTTTTTTGTTAGTGTTATGCAGAATTGTGTCATTCAGTTTTTAAACAAATAAGATGATAGGTTTGACTAAGACAGGGTGTAGGGCTTGGATCAATGCAGATAGTTTGGTTTCGAGAGAGGGTATTACTTGAAAATATTATATATAAATAAGGGTTGAATCTATTTGGGTGAAAAATTGCCGCCCGCAGGTCAATGAAAAAGCAGAGGATGGATAATGAAAAATTGCCACCTGTGGGCCAACGAAGTGAATTAGCATTTAGATTGTCTTATTTTAAAAACCAAAGGATGTTTTATTTTCTTGTGATAGTTCGTTTTGTTGCATGGGATAGGTCGCTTCCTTGCTGAGCTGACAAAAGAAGTGTTTTCTGATCTTGATGCCTGTAAATATCAGGTTCTTTCTTGAATCCTAGCATGTTAAATATTTTTCTGAGAATATATACTAATTCATTTGATCGTCATCTTCTACTTTAACATATTGCAATGGTAAATTCCTCTATTCTGATATTGCCTATTCTGTAAACATGTTCAATTCTTGATTTTAATTTGTCTTACCAAAAAAGGCATATGAAGTCATTTTTTTTTTAAAGTGTTTTTCTTGGTCATAGTCGAGTCCTAATTTCTCTGTAGACTTGTGGGTATCTGTAAAGAGATGATCTATCTTAGTCTTCTTTTTCAGTTAGCGCCAGTGAACCCATTTTAAAGATCTAGTGTTTTTGATATTATCCTTTGGTGAGATGTTGTTCAGGTTATTGCGTAGATCATAATCATAATTATTCTTTATTCACATTTCAAACTTTTGACTTATGATTTCCATTTTGTGCAACAAATATTAATTGTTTGTTTGTGAATTTTTTTTTATGAATACTTCTTTTGACATGGCCATAATTGTTTGTTGTTATATGTCTTATTGCGCCTAGTTTGTTCGCAGATGGCTGAGTATCGAATATCAATATATGGGAGGAAGCAAAGTGAGTGGGATCAACTGGCCAGTTGGATATTGAATAATGAGCTGTACAGTGAGAATGTTGTTTGGTTAATTCAGGTATTCTCTTGTTCCACTTTCTGATCACCGAGCAGTTTAGTCTTTCAAAATGATGAGGTAGAACTATTCTCTATTTGTCATGTTTTCTTTATGCATAAATATCATCCCCTTTGCCCACTCATAATGTCGAAATCATGGATTTCAACTACACATCATATAATTCATGTATGCATGGTGCACTCTCATTTAGTATGAAGTTTTCAGGGTTAACGTTTCTTGATGCCTGAATTTATGCCCTTGATGCTCCCACTTAAGAGTGCATGGCATCTAAAGTATTTGGGAACTTCCATCTTTGTCTCGATTTGCTTAAGCAGTTGTATGTGTGATTAATATTATTTTTTTTAAATATTTTTTCGGCAGCTTCCTCGGTTGTACAATGTCTACAAAGAACTGGGAATAGTGACGTCATTCCAGAACATTCTTGACAACATCTTCATTCCACTATTCGAAGTCACTGTGGACCCAGATTCTCATCCACAGTTGCATGTTCTCTTGAAACAGGTATAGCATTCATCTACAAAATCAATTACTTGTTATATCCTGAAAGTTTGTAGGAGTTTTGTTGACGGGGCTGAGAGTAGGACTCTGTTCATTGTTGAATGACCTATGCACATATGAAACATCCTAAGAAGTGAATGGCTACAATGGCGGATTGAGATAAGTTGACTTCACATCTAGCTTTGCTTGATACTATTAGCCTGAAGCATCCTATAAGAGTGAAATAAGTAAGACTGTGGCAGTCAAATTCTTTCTTCTTTGCTTTTGACTGTTCTTCATCTAGTGAGAACTCATAGCATCCTTAAGGCCCGAAAGAGGGCTATTGATGGCGTTTTGTGCTTCTGTTATGTATGATTTTGTTGTGTTTTGTTCTTGAACAATGAAGTGTACATTATTTGACCATGTATTTATGTTTTTTCCCGACACTTGTAGGTTGTTGGGTTGGATTTGGTTGATGATGAAAGTAAGCCTGAAAGACGGCCAACTAAACACATGCCTACACCTGATCGGTGGACCAATGTTTATAATCCAGCATATTCGTACTATGTGTACTACTGTTATGCAAATCTTTACACCTTAAATAAGGTCTGCAATTTTTCGAAAGAACAACTTCCATACGTGTATGTCAATCTCTAGGTGTTTAGCTATTCACTCCCTCCTGACCACCACCTCTCCAATAAAAGTTAAATGAATGAAAAATAAGGGGCTAAAAATTACAAACAGAAAAATCAAAATGTATATCTCTCTTCCTAATTTCTAATGAAGTAATTATAATGCATGATGGCATATTCTCTATAATTTCATTGATTTATCAGTCACTCTGATTGATTAGTTCTTGTTTGAGGGATTTATTGCTCCCTCTCCTCAAGTGACCATAGACTCTTGCATATTTTTTCCAAGATATCTCGCATATGGATTTTCAATAGCTTAGTTTTGACGTACTCATTGATGTGATACACTTATATCTCAGCTTCGTGAGTCAAAGGGAATGACAACAATCAAATTCCGCCCTCATTGTGGAGAGGTAATTTTTAGAGTATACTTTCTTTGTTTGGACATTGTTGCGTGGCTACATTATATGATGCATCATCATATTGTACACAGGCTGGTGATATTGACCACCTAGCTGCAACCTTTCTCACTGCTCATAGCATTGCACATGGAATTAATTTGAGGAAATCTCCAGTGCTTCAGTATTTGTATTACCTAGCTCAGGTTTGGCTGTTTTTCAATCGATTACTTAGGTTTGGATTTTTGCACTCTGGCAGTAACTGATGGGTTGCGGTGTTTTGTTTGTTATCAGATTGGGTTGGCTATGTCTCCTTTGAGTAATAACTCCCTATTTTTGGACTACCATCGGAATCCCTTCCCAACATTCTTCGCACGGGGTCTGAATGTGTCGCTTTCTACTGATGATCCACTTCAAATTCACTTAACTAGAGAACCATTGGTTGAAGAATATAGCATTGCTGCATCTGTGAGATTTCTCTCTCCCTTCTTGCATGGCATTTAAACGAACAATACTTACAGTATTTATTTCTTATGCATCTACAGGTTTGGAAATTAAGCTCTTGTGATATATGTGAGATTGCCCGTAATTCAGTGTATCAATCTGGTTTCTCGCATGCCTTAAAGGTACCCCTTTCATCCTGAATCTTCCATGAATAAAATTCCTCTACCCCAAGGCAAAATTGTTTTTCCCCCCCCTGCATTAACACCTGGGGTCAGGGATTTAGTATTTGCAAGAGTACTCCCTCCGGTCTTTATTATAAGATGAAGTTGACAAATTTTGTACTTATTAAAAAATGTTAGTTATAACCTTGAAATTGTATTAAAAAAATGTAAGTTTCTAATTCTATCCTTCTTCATAATTAATGATCATAATAAATTGTTGTTTAGAAATTCAATTGACAATAAATAAATAAGGGGTAAAATTGGAAAAAAAGCATTAACTACTCTGAACTTGTCCTATATGTAGAACCCAAAAAAAAAAAAAAAATTTCAAACTTTGTCTTATATTAATGACTGGAGTAGGGGATATTTTTTAATTTGATTAAATTTTAGTGTTTACTATCTTGTCATTACAATCAAAACATTTGAATAACAGTATAACACAACAAAACCTGAAAACATTACTAGAAAGCTACTCACGTCTAAGATTCATCCTTAAGTAGTTGGATCAATCAACTAATTACATGTAAGAGGAAAAATAGCGAACTAAGTTACTACCTATGTTAACATACCAAAATACCAAAGTCAAATTAAGCTAGGATGGGATTATTAATTCCCAATTATAGCAAAGCTCTTGATGAACAGTCAAGAGTTGCAAACTATGATGTGAATGACTCCTTCCTGGCCAGTGGGATCATTATCATGAAACGAATTGATTATAAAACTTCAAAAGGAACGCATCCCGATCATATCCTCCCTCCCCTTGAGAAGAAGTTGATAGTCCAAGTGATTGGAAGTTGTACATTTAGTTAATGACTTCAGAGATTTATAGATGCCAACTGACGCATCAATTTATTATTATTTCAGTCACATTGGATTGGCAAGGAGTATTACCGGAAGGGGCCTAATGGAAACGACATTCACAGAACGAATGTTCCTCACATTCGGGTAGAATTCCGACACACGGTATGGATTTCATTTGATAATGCTTGGCCATATTTAACTTATTAACCTTTTTGTAAACTTTTCACATTATTTGGTTTAATAATCTGCACTAGATTCTTCTTCAATCAAGGTTGAAATATCTAATTAAAAAGGTATATATATATATATATTATAAACTTCAGTCACGCAAGCTTAAGAGATCCATTATTATTGTTTCGCCCAAAAAAAAAAAAAGGAGATCCATTATTACTGTTGCATATGTTTCAAAAACATATTACATGATCTGTTGAGTCAATTGTGAAGCAATTTAATGTGATTTATGTTCTTGCAGATTTGGAGAGACGAGATGCAACAGGTTTACTTGGGAAAGGCCATTGCCTCCGAAATAGACATGTAATATAGTTCAAGCCACGTGCATCGTCCTTGCTTCGAGCTTTTGAACAGGTAATACATCCAAATTTTCCTATGAACAAACTTCGGATACCACTTCATGGATTTTTTTTTTTTTTTTTTTTGTTGTGGGGGGGTGGGGTGAGGGGGTTGATAGCAGTTTTGATTTTTTTTTTTTTTTTACTATCAAGTTATTCAATGAAAGCATAACCCATTAAGTCGGTATTATACACCCGGAATCTTTAAGGACATTTCATTACATGCCATGTTTGTCTAAAATATCGGAAATCATCAATATTAAGCATTGCTTTATCCGTGTAGGTCTTAATTGATTGAATCTGTTCAGGGTTTTATTTTATAGGTCTTAATTGAGCTCCAGCTCGTCAGCATCAAAGGAGATGACAAGCTTCGGAGAACCCCATCTAAGTTAACAGTCGGGCCTGACGCGCGCGCACATATATATTACACACCGACTCACCAACGCTGAAGAATCTACGGCACTGCCTGGAGGACATGACCAGAAGCCGGAACACCATACTTGATCGACACCAACAGCTACAAGACAACTTGGTGTACAGATATTAATTTTGAGCTTAGAGATAAGAATAATTTGATTTTAATTATAATCATACGCGTTGAGCGAATTTGCGGTTGAATCATGGCAGGAAGAGAAGATGGCTCTGAAAAATTTTGATTCGATATTTATCACAACCATTGTATATGCTTCGATCAAACTAAAATTGAGATCAATCATTTTTATGAATACAGTAATTATCCTCTCTTTTTGGCGTAGTAATTTACGCTTTAGTTATGATTACACTAATGACAACAATAGTCAATAGTAGCAAGGCAACAATATGACTTTCTTTGATTATTTGCTACAGTTTTTCCACAAAAATATCGTGTGAAATAACATAACTGGAGCCGAATATAATAAATAATGCTCCTGTTGAAAAATGTTAAGTATTTTCAATCAAATTTTATATCCAATAGATTAATTAATTACCTTCAAATTAATACTACCATTTCATAGTTACATTTATTAAATAAGGTATTTTACTTTATTTATAGTTAGAACATGTATTTAGTTCTTTAATTTTATACAAAGATTCAGTTTAATTCCTTAATTGCATAAAATATCTTTTTAATCCTAACTCTAATACTATTAATTTATAATAATTATTTTTTGCATTTATTATTATTATTTTCAAATATTAAATTTAATATGTTAACATTTAAAAATATTTTTTCAATATTTAAATTTTTAACTTATAAAATTTTCGCGAATAAAATTAACGGTGATAGAGTTAAATAATTTAAAATATAATTTATAAATTTAAAGGATTAAAATAAAATATTATATAGAATTAAGAACCAAACAAGCGCTTTAGCCTTTACTTATTAAGAATATTTTTGACAAACAAAAAAAAAAAACACGTTAACTATGTTTTAAACCACTAAAAACACCTTATATTTTTTCACATTTAATTTTTTAAAAAATACCATATTTGGCATATTTTACCATGCAAGTAGAACCAGTATCTGGAATTGATAAAAATAATGTATGAAGTCTCTAACTTCTTCTTTGATAAAAAAAGAAAGTGTACTTTTGCATTAAGGAATTGTATCTACCAACTTATAGAAGAAGGGCAAAACGTAAACCTCAATCAAAATGTAGGTTCTCAGCACGTCAAATATCGACAAGCAAATTTACTACAAGATCTCACTAATAAAAAACAAGGCCCGTTACCCAAAAAATAATAATAATAAAACACGGGCAATGAGATGGTGAATAAGACGACTCCGATACCATTGGATCTTCAGATCCACAAAAGTAACAAGATCTTTACATTTAATCCTTATTAACTTACTGGCCAAAAAAAAAATTTCCTTATTAACTTAAATCTTTTGTCAAACCAACTTAAATGTATACCAAAATTTTGAATTATAACAACCACCTCTAAAAACATTTTCATCAAGTAAGTAGCTTATTTGAAGCTTAGTTCTCCAGAAGCACCTCAAAGGGAAAAGAAGCCAGATTTGGAGTTTATTTTTTGGTGTACTTCTTTACCTCTTTAATGATACCATCAGTAAGAGAATCAACATCATTGTTCTTCCCAAAGAATTTTACAAACTGCATGTCAGGCCCCATCAAGTACCTGAACAGAAATCCCATTTTGTATAAGATTAATATTCAACAAAAATCACCCTAGTAAGAGGCATACACTAATGGATCATGCAATTAATTATGGAGAAAAATGATAGAACAGTAGGTCTAGAACCATCATCGGTAAAGAGTAAGTGATACAGGAAAGACTTTCTTTTTTAATAACAGAAGTGCCAAACTCATAAAAATTTATGATATACAGCATGAGTATTTGATCATGTAAAACGTGATGTAGCATATCTCAAGGTTATAAACAATACATACATAACTATGGAGTGATCAACGAGATAATCTGAGTCTTCCTCTGCTGTCTTCATGTAATAAACACGATAAGCACGTGCAACATTTCGTATTTCCTCTGAGCTCCCAGTTAATCCAATCAACCTCGGATGAAATTCTGACATATGCAAATTAAGACAAAATAGTAGAAAACAAGCATAACTAACCAATCTGTTTTACTTATTCTTCTTTTAGCTTCCTTCATATGCAAAATTATAAGATGTATGAAGTATGACCCAAGTACCTTTGACATATTCGCGTACTTGCTCAACAGTATCCCTCTCAGGGTCAACTGAAATAAAAATTGGGACAATTTCAAGTCCAGATTTCTCCTCTGCAGGAAACAATAAGAGACAAATATAGTTATAATCAAGTCCGCATCACAGGATCAGAAGTACAGAAAAGGTTCATGCCAACACATAAAGACAGAAACTCACAAATCATTGCAATGCCACACTTTGAGTAGATTTAACATCTCATTGTCATCAAATGGAAACATCGGCAAGTCACAACTTACTTATTTTATCAACTGCAGCTGCTAGTTTTATTAGTTCATCTGGGCAGATATCTGGGCAGTGAGTAAAGCCAAAATATATCAGCGTCCAATTTCCCAAGAAGTTCTTTTCAGTCACACGCCTCCCATCATGGTTGATCAGATTGAAAGGACCCCCAATGGCAGCTTGCCCAGCAGAAGGTCCTTCCTTAACTGCTTTTGAAGCACTGTTTATTTCTACATAAAAGAAAGTTAATTTAAACAAGGAACAGAAATAAAAGAAATTATACATGATTCTTCAAACACCCGGTATGCATGGCACCCTATTAGCTAAAAGAAAGAAATTTTGAGAAAATAGTAAATGCACTGATCTAATTATTTTTCATCCACTGTTCCATGTTCCAAGAAAGAAAGATGCTTGTTGCACATAAAAAATAATCCGCAGTAGTGTAAGGACGTGCAAACTGTCCATAAAAGAGGCAATCCAAGCCCAAGGTTAACCATGACATAAAAACTCTAGCCCCAACAGTCAGTGTATCTCAAGGCATAGCATCGCAATAATGAAGTTTAACTTAAGAAGGGACAGAAATACAACTTAAATTCAACTTTTTAATTGTTAAAATAAAAGATAATAGGTGATATTCTTTCATTTATTGTAGATATTGTGATATCTTCCAAGATCATGGTGATAGCATAGATAGCATAATTATAGTGATTAAGGTATTTATGAGCCATAATGACTAGGACTTCTTCTCTTTGTATATACTCCCTTTTTCAGATGAATACAAACAATTGAATTATGGACCAGTTTGTTTAAAATTAAAGCAACAAGTTTACCAGAAGAAAAAAAGAAAAAGTGATTTTAGCTAAGTCTAACACTTGACTTGTTGGGGCAAAGTAAGAGAAATATGAATATTCTTTTGAAAAAAGAAAAAAGTGATTTCAGCTAAGTCCAACCGTCTATTTACAGTCCTAGAAAGTAGAAACTCCATGTGTCAAACAGCATAAATATATCACATGGATGATACAATTCTATTAACATGAAAAGAAATATGACTGTATATGTGGGCAGTTGAGAGACATGTATTTCAAAACTCAAGACCAGTAGTTAGGATATATAATTGCATTGGTTCATAATACTCTAGCAGAAAAATACTGTTCACAACCCTTGGTCATTAAGTTCACCAAAAGATGAGGGATCAAACTTTCATAGATTTCCAGTCATGACAAATCCAAAAAAGGCATTAAGAAGGGAGGCCACTATCTGTGGTGAATTACAAGTTCCAGTTGTAATTAAACAAAATTTCCAGCTGAACTGGGAGAAAGCATGCATTTCATAAAGCAATATTTCTTTCTACCTACTTGCATGCTACATCTATAGTTTCTATATTTTATGAAGCGAGCCTCCTTATAAACATAAGGCAGAGTTACTTGGGAAACATTTGCACCGTACAGAGTGCAGACATTCATTTTAAACTTCATCCATCCAATCAAATCCAAACTCAATTCAAGTTGCCACAGCCCACAAAATTCAAACATAGTAAAAGAAAGGAAAAGTAATTCAAGCTAACCATAAATTAAACATACCTTATTAAAGTGTTTTTTTTTTTTTTTTTTTACATTTTAATGGAGACGTATGTCAATAATATAATTCACTTCCACAGTCATAATTAGAAAACACTTAACTCACCATAGTAATCTACCTTCAATATGACGTTTCTTTTCCCCATCATAGTAGTAGATCAGCCCAGCTCCAGTGGCAACCAGTAAAAGAAAGCTCAACCACGACACAGGCTGCAAGTCACAACGTAATCAGCTCACAAGTGCCCCGAACCAATTTATCCCAGAAGCATAAGTTGTAAATTGTTATGAGTCCGGGATTATTATATTAAAAATAAACATTATACAATCACCCAAATTGCAAATAAATATAACGCTAACGCATTAGGATAGTGGTCAGAGAATTAAGATTCATATAATACCAACAGTAGAATCACATACTACTGCTGTAGAAATCAAATCCTATACTTTACAGTTGGGTCATGACAGTAAAAGACCATGAAGAACGTTAAATATAGATACTCACTCCTCCACGTACGGGCTTTCCAGCATCAGCCTTCTGATTCGATTCCCCAGATTCTTTTCCTTGGTCAGAATTATCTTTCGCCGAGCCATCGGATGCTGGCTTTTCTTGATTGACACTACCAGCTGCAGCATTGGAGAGAAATCTCTGACATAACAGCAAAGATCCATCACCGTAGCCTTGAGGTCCGACCTACAATTATAAGATAAAGAGATATTTATAACCAATATGTAAACTAAACTCAAAACACTACAGGTCAAAGAAGAATGAATAGACCAATAACATTCTTCCCACTGATAAAAAAAAAAAATCAACAGAAAATTCACAGAGGAAACCAAACCAGCTGATGGAATGGGAGATTTGAACGGTGAAGGTGATTGGGAGATGGAGATGGTGGTGAAAGCGTAGTGGATCTGCTCGGGCGAAGAATCTGTGAGTAGAAAATGCGACCAACATAGCGAAATTGATTGGACTTGCTCGATATGATGGTCGCCATCTGTAGAACTCTCCGCGAAGCAAAACTTAAACCTTAGAAACGAAACAACGAAGCCCAAAGGGTTTAACATAAACACAAACACAATTCAATGGGCGCTAGGTTGGGTGTATTATTACGTCACTGTATTATTTTATTTTAATTTTATAATTTTATTGAAAAACTATTATTATTACCATCATTATATAATTACTATGTTTATATTGTCATTAAAAATTATATATTTGTTATATTATCATTAATGAATCATAAAAATATGTAAAAAAAACTTATATACTTAATATTGTATGCTTGAAGTGTCTATTTCTAATTAAATCAAAACATTTACTCTCTATGTTAAAAAATATAAAGTATTTTTAATTGAATCTCACCTCTCAATAAAGTAATTACTTACCTTCAAATTAACCTTATCTTTTTATATTTACCTTTATTAAACACCCTATAATAAATATAAAGTCATTTATTAATAGAGGCACATTTAAAAAAAAGACAATGATTACACTTCGAATGATTAAAAATGTCTTATATTTTTAAATATTCAACTCCTTAAAAAATATCTTATATTTTTAAATAAAGGGAGTATATATTTTTATAGATTATTTATTTTATAAGAACGGTGACTTCTTCTATTTTGCTAAAATTATGAAGACATTTCTTATATTTTCAACACTTTCATTTTAGTCTATTTTTTAGTACTGTTATAAATATTTCGTTAAGTGTTCTAAATATTTAATTTTTTACTTATAGTTATGTTAAAAATTTTAAAATTATTAATTTGCTCTTATGATCTAATTGTCTACTCTCTCTCCCAATTCAAAAAATCTATAAATAATTAAGTATGTTGATATTTAAATAAATTAATTAAAAATTTTGTTTTAAAATTAATTTAATTTAAATAAAAATAAAATAAATTATATTGAGTATTTTTTTATTAATCATGTATATCATTTATTGAAGGCAATCATGTTTAAAGTATGATTAAGCACTAAACATAAGTATTTTTCTAGAGGGATTTCAAACCTTGGTTCTCATTATTAATTTTTTTTAAAATTATTAAATAAATACATTTACATAATCAAAAATGTAAAAAAAAAATATGTGCATTGAATTTTGTAATGTACTCCTCTGGTTCTATTATAAGTCATTTATAACATATTTTATCAATATTAAGAAAACCTTAAATTTTATTAACTTTGTTTTAAAATTTAATAAATTTTTAATTTTACCCCTATTAAATATATATATTTTAATAATATATTTTCTCTCTCTAACATTCAATAAAAGGTAAAAAAAATTTAATAATGTAACTTATAAATAAAATTAAAATTTTTTCTTTTTTTACCTTATAAATAGGATCAGAAGGAGTAATTTAATTTGAATGATTTTTAGGCTGTATTAATATTTAAGAGCGCGTGTTTTAATCTCATATATATGACTTAATGATCGATTAACAATTGGGTAGATAAAAATAAAATATTAAAAATAAAAAGATATGTATTTTGTAATTATTAATACAAAGGGACTCAACTCCGGATCTTCGTAGATAAGGTCGTGGGAAAGAACTTTCCTCCGAAAGTATTTTACTTTAATGCTATCAACACATTAATATCCCTTGTGATTGAATAAAAATAGACTAAGAATATAAAATTAAGTATCTAAATCTCACCCATATTTTTTTTAATAATTCCACTATTTTTTAAAAGAGTGTTTTTCAATATAAAAAAAATTATTGTTCAACAATCTCTTACCATTTTGAGATCGTGATTTTCATATACTCTCTCCGTTAAAAAATGTAAAGTATTTTTAATCAAATTTTATCTCTCAATAAAATAATTATCTACTTTCTAACTAAACATATCTTTTTATATTTACTACTGTAAAACATTATACAATAAATATAAAATCATTAATTAATAAAGATATTTTTAAAAAAAGAATAATGATTACACCTTAAAAGATTAAATGCTCAAAAAATATCTTATATTTTTTAACGAAGAGAATACCTCGACATCATTACTATTTGCATTTTGTTGTCTCCATTTACCATTTAATTGAGTTTTAAATTTCATAAATTTGATTCAAAATTTTAAATTATAACCTCAGAACATAAATAATAATAGAATTGATTTTTTTAAAGGAAAAAAAAAGCTCAATACGATCACTTTAATTTGAATTTGAGTGGACTGCACAATTTTACCTCAATTAAAATTACCTCTAATAAAAAACACTTGTAAGAAATAAAAAAACAAAAAGTAAATTTGAACGAGCTTTATAACTGAGTCACTTCTCCCAACATAGTTTTAAATTTATTTATACAATTTCATGTTATTTATTAAAGAAGTTCTTGCAAATATAACTCATGTTATAAAATTAAACCAATCAAATAATTCAATACTATATTTTGCATTATGGCCTATAACTACCTGATTGGATTAGAGTTGAACATTATTGAGTTTAATTTAGGATCACTCTCTTAAAGACGCTTCATCACGAGAAGTTTTGCCAACAACTTCCTTTAAATACATCTTCAAATCTCAAAAGTGATTGAGCTTTGCATTTATTCAGATTTGAGCTCCTAACCTCTTCTTTGATAAATGCAACTATGAACAAGATAAACAAAGGAACTTCACATGCATTAATCATATATGCATTCCTTCCTGCTGAGTTTGAGATCACGAGAAATGAGCAAATATAAACTAACCCTCGGTCGGGGAAAAAAAAAACAGAGAGAGAGAGAGAGATGACAGCTTGTCTGTCCCCATCAGCTCAATCCTTGGCAGAGGTTATGTGCGTTGTTTTTCCCAGCTACACCAATCAATCACTGCTTCTTAAACGACTGGCAGTACCCCCAAAAGAGAAAATACATTCATTATTAACAGAGGCCCGTGGAAGCTCTATGTAACAGCAAAAAAACTCACAAAAATGTCTACATAATTTACTGTCAAATTCAATTCTCCAAAATTTGTATATAGACAATCTAGTTTTTCACTTTCACAATAACGAACCTCTTGTACATTAGTTGTAGTTCGACAAGAGAACTATTGTGCCATGAGTATGCTATTGCTGGAATTAACTTGTGCACCCAACAACGTCCATTGACAAATTAAATCAGCAAAACACCATAGAGAGAATGAGGGCTTGTTTGTTTCAGCTTATTCTGTGAGAAAATTACTCTTTTTTTTTTAAACAAAAATCTATTGTGTGTTTTAATGATGTTTGTTTAAATTTTTAAAACTAATTAAAATCTGAAAAAAAATAAATTTATAATTATTTTAAGGAGCTATTTGAAATAACTTTTGAAAATTTGAGGCAATAAATAAGAGAAAATGTTTTAAAAAGACGAGATATAAAAAGATATCATAAAATTTAAAAATAACTAACTAATAATCATTTTTTTTATTATTGTAACCAAACTTAAAATAATTTCTGTTTTTATAAAATCTCTACAAAATAAATCTACTTTTATAAAATCTCCAAATTATTTAAAAATTACTTATTTTTTAATTTTAAACAAACGGGTGTTATTAGTCCAGTCAATACTCCCTCCAGTCCTTTTTATATATAAAGTCCTATCACCTATTTTCTTGAGATTAAGGCTATTAGTTGAAAAGTAGTTAAATGTCAAAATTTCTTCACAACTTCCCAAACTAACATTTGATTGATGTTAGTTCATTGGTTTTTTTTTTTTCTTTTTTTTTGGGGGGGGGGTGGGAAGTATGGAAAAGCCATTAGTTAAACTAAAAATTGAAAGAGACAAGGGCATTTCTGAAAATGCATCATGCATATCTCATTAAGATTTCCGAAAAGATCTTGCATCAAGGACCGGCGAGTATTTAATATAAGATGGCAATATATAAGCTACCTCCATATCTTTCGAGAGGTCCTTGAAAAGCTCTGCTGCCCCCTCCTTCACCTGAGCTCCTGTTATAATACAAAGCATTTAGATCAAACTGATTGGTTAACATGACCAACGAAAAAACAGTCAATATTTTGCTATTACTGCTACCTTTAGTGGCAATATCCCCGATTTTCTTTGATGTCCTCACAGCAAATCTCTGAAATGCCGGGCTAAGAATCCACATGTAAACATCAACATGAGAGAAGGAAGTTGTAATACTAATGAATTGCCAACTCACTGTATAAAACTGGAATAAGAATTTCATACGAAATACTTAGTTATAGTCCTGCCAACATGCATTTCTAATAACATCACATAGCACACAATACAATCAAACTAAGAAGCAGGGATACTCAACATTGCAGAAGCAGGCAGGAACATAAAAGTGAAGACAACCACCCATGGCATCTAGGTAACATTTAGACACTATGTTGTGGATGTTTGATAGCCAACATGTTTCACCAAACACAAACTAGGTCCTTTTTTTTTTTTTTGAAATACCTGTGCTTTGTTGCACAATAGGTGATGACATAATGCATCAAACTCAGATAATCACGTAATAAATAAAGCCCCAACTCTCTGTTGACATGGATGGTCTAGAAATGATTGAATACCATGTAAGTATTGTGCAAAATATCTGTTTGCACCTAAATGGGAGTGGGCCAAGTACAGAAACAGCCCAAGGAGCGAAAGAGGGGGGAAAATTAATGCTCAATACAGAAAGGCTAAAAAGAGTCCGAGCCATAAGATTCACAAACTGCACCCATAATAAAGACCACTACCATCATGAAGATGAACATGAGTGAATACCGAAACTCATGAGAGTTCAGGTTTGGACATTTTCCCAAGAATAAGGTAACCACTTGGAGGGTCTATAAAAGGAGAAGAGGATATTCAATAGGAGAGATCACACACGACATCTAGCCATCCAGAAGTTAGAGCAAATATCCCAACTGAATTCAAGCACTCTCAGGGTCCCGCATCTTGAAGTTTCAAATTTCACTTGCCCCGCACAATCAAACAGTCTTGGAAATAAATATTTGTGGAAATGCATGCCAACTTCAGTGCCTAGATACTCACAACGAAGAAAAAAAATATTCTCAAACTCTACCCTGCAGTGAATGAAGCATTACACCGCAAATAACTACAGAATTTCTACTCTCAGACACTTTAGCTTCAGGTGCTCAAGCTTGTCAGGTACAGTCAATCCCGACAGCCTAAACGTGAAGCTTCGGTCAACAAGTTGATTGTAAAATCAGAGCTTTCGACAGATATTTATTTCCAAGACTAGCTCCACAATTAGCTTGCTCAAGCACCTGGGAAAGCATATCAACTTCAGCCCCTAAATACTCACCATGAAGGAAAAATGTTCTCAAACTCTGCACTGCAGTGACTGAAGCAATACACTACAATGCAGATAACTAGAGAATTTGAGACTCTTTTGCTTCAGGGAGCAATCTTACTAGGTACAGTTAGTCCTGACAGCCTAATTGTGAAGCTTCTGTCAACAAGCTGATTGTAAGAACAAACTTTCCACAAAATAAGGTTTGATGACTGTGAACAGTAAGATCTCTGTGGTCTTTCAAGCCTTCAGAGACATATTGGCAATGCTCACAAGAAAGTACAAGTAGTCGAGAGCTTGGAAGAGGACAAAGATACAGTATCTACAACATGATCTATTGATTGACCACTAATTATTACCACCATGAGCATGAACATGAGTGAATCGTAAAACTCATGGGAGTTCAGGTTTGGACATGTTCCCAAGGAGAAGGTAACGACTTGCAGGATCTATAAAAGGAGAAGATGATATTCAATAAGAGAGATCACACACAACATCTAGACATCCAGTAAGTTAGAGCAAATATCCCAACTGAACTCAAGCACTCTCAGGATCCCGCATCTTGAAGTTTCAAATTTCACTTGCCCAGCAGTCTTGGGGGGAAAATATATATATATATATATATATTTGTGGAAATGCATGCCAACTTCCACCCCAAATACTCACCATGAAGGAAAAAAATATTCTCAAACTCTATCCGGCAGTGAATGAAGCATTACACTGCAAATAACTAGAGAATTTGAGACACTTTTGCTTCAGGCGGCAAGCTTATCAGGTACAGTCAGTCCTGATAGCCCAATCGTAAAGCTTCAGTCCACAATCTGATTGTAAAAACAAGCTTCCGACAAAACATTTATTTCTAAGACTTCCATGATTAGCTTTCTCCAACAACTGGAAAAGCAAAGCAACTTCAGCCCCTAAATACTCATCATGAACGAAAAAATATTCTCAAACTCTGTATTGCAGTGAAAGAAGCATTACACTGCAGACAACTAGAGAATTTGAGACTCTTTCTTTTGCTTCAGGGAGCAAGCTTGTCAAGTACAGTCAGTCCTGACAGCCTAATCATGAAGCTTCTGTCAACAAGCTGATTGTAAGAACAAACTTTCCACTAAATAATGCTTGATGACTGTGAACAGTAAGATCTCTGTTGTCTTACAAGCCTCCAGAGACATATTGGCAACGGTTACAGTACATTTACAGCATGTTCTATTGATTGACCACTAAGTTTTTCAGAAAAATCACAAACACACATCATATCCATCCAAAGACATGCTTCATGGCTTAGCTCTCACATACTTGCAAACATATACCAACTTCAGTCTTTAAATATTCAACATGAAAGGGGGAAAATGTCCAAACTTCATATATTGCCATGAATGAAATATCATGCTGCAGGTTTGATTTGAAAAATTTTAAAAACTGAAATTAAGATCATTGTTAGTCTGAAAGATCAATGAGAAGGTCAGCGATTTAAGTGAACAAAGCGAGCAGGTAATGGTCCGTCCTGAATTAGACGCCTAAAGTGAAGCTTCAACCAATTCAAGCATCCAATTATTTTACATAAAACAACAGTCTTACAACAAAGGCATATTGTAATCAACAACAGAGGAACAGCTCCACATGTTCGAACACAACATGAATTGATCCACCTTATTAACTTTCTGGCAATTAGCAATTTATCGTAAACAAACCAATATCACCTTGTGGTAAGAGACATAAAGCGCCGATTATAATTGTGTTGTGAAAAACCTATAATGGCAAGCACTCTCTCAAACTCCCTTATCTTACAAATCAATAAAGTTTCTATTGACACCACACGACTTTGAAGCTTGTTTATTCGCTAAACGGGAACGAATTAATTTCAAATGAAGCTTAGAATTACAAAATCATGCGTATCAAAGAAAAAGGAACTTAAAAATTGGTTGGGTTGGCACCTGTTAGCAAGACTGTTGACAACCAATTCATTTACCACGTAGGAGATGACCCTGGCCATAAAATTCCCGCCACCGGCCATGTTTGCCTCGCTTCAATTTACAGCAGCTGCAATACAATCAAAGAAATAAGGGAACGGCTTCAAAGGGGAAAATCCGGAAGACAAAAACTTTGTACGAAGAGATGGATTACATAAATAAGGGTCAGCAATCACAATAATCAGCTGAGGACTTTGAACACGGATAGAAGAATCGATTGGGCTGATAAATGGCGCGAGACGCTGAAGAAAATCTCCAGAATTGGCGGACACTGACAGAGGTCCCTGAAGGCCTGAAGCTTCTCGAAATTACCAGGGACAAGATGGTGCTGGCAAGTTTTACTTTCCTCCTAAATATATAAAAAAATAATAATAATAATTAACTTACACCGTTTAAAAAATTTAAATAAATATAAAATTATATTAAAAATTAACCTACACCGTTTAAAAAATTTAAGTAAATATAATAATTATATTAAAAAATTTCAAAATTGAATTGAATTATTTTTATAATTAATATAATAAATTTGTGTCGTAAAAATAAATATTAACTTCATGAGAATAATTTAAAAAATATATGATAAATACTTATAATTTTGTTATTATAAATAAAAATAAAAATAAAAATAATATAATAATTTCTCTTTTATACCTAGAAACCGAGTAGTACTTCTTTTCACATTTGCTAGCTAACTTCAAGCCGCGGTGAGATTTGAGGAATCTAAGGTTAATGATAAGATAATTAAATCGATGATGAAATTTTGAGCGTTTGTTTAAGCTTCTTTTTCATGAAAAAAATTAATGTTTTAATATTTTTTTAAAATTTTATAACGTTTGTTTAAACAAAATTCTAAAAAAAATATTTATAATTATTTTTAGAAATTATTTTAAATAGTTTTTGAAAATAATCGATACCATATATGAGAGATAATGTCACAAAAATACGATATTTGTTTATTTCATTATCTAGTTGATTCGTTTAACTTAATTTTTATTAATTTAATCCTAAAGTATTTTTAAATTATTATGTTAATTCTTTAAATTTTAAAATATAAATTTTCTCTGAAATTAATTTAATGTTTAAAGTACATTAATAACTTGATATATGTGTAGTTAGGATTTAAATCCTTTGAAGTTATTATTGGCAAATTTTTGTGGAGTTTTTCTTTTTTAAAAAAAGGAGAGTAGATTTTATATTTTATATAAAATAATAAAATGAGAAAAAAATACTAAAAAAACAAAAAATTTACCTAAATTCATCAATCCCAAACGATTTAAAGCGATGTAGTTATATGGAAATAAATGAGTCCTCAAATATTTAATATTAATCAATTTAATCTTTTACATGGCATTTTGTTCTTTTTTTTCTTAAAAATTCTTATTCTATTTTTTCTTATATCAATAATTACTGTCTTTGTCTTATATTTTTAATTAAATCTCACATATTAATAAAAATTTATTATTTAATAAAAAACATATATATATAATCATACTGTAATAATTTTTTAATTTTATCTTTAATAGTATCACAATTAATATCATGTTAGTGGATGAACCACATAATTAATATATTTTTCCCTTTTTAAGTTAATAAGGGTATATTATCCAATTATTCCTAGCTTATCATGAAACCTTTTATGTCCATGGACAAAACAAATTTTTAAAAAATATTTTATATATAGTGATGGAGAAAGTACATCTCATTAATAATCTATATAACTGTCATTATTATTTCATTATTCATATCATTAGATTTAATAATGTTACATTATTTTTAATTAATAAGAATTAAATTGATAATTAATGCAAACGTAAATGACTAAGTGGATAAAGAATAAATTTAAACAATTAAATTAATAATTGAAATAAATTTAAAAGATTAAAAATTTCATTATTTCATATACATATTTGAATGTATATTAAACTGAATCTATATTCAATTATATTTTATACATACAATGTATCAATCAACTAATTAAGTTATTTTGTATTTTTTAATGATAAAACATCCACTATTATTAATAAATCCTAAAATGTATCTATGAATTTCATTGATTATGAACATGCCTAAATTATATCAACTAATTAAGTTATTTTGTATTTTTTAATGATAAAACATCCACTATTATTAATAAATCCAAATTTAGGCTGGATTTGATCCTGATTAGAGGAAGCTATCCCAATTTTAATTTGAACATGTCTTCTGATTTTTTTTTTGGTCAATAATAATTTGAAATTTTTATTTATTTTTAAATTAAAATTGTTTTAATAATCAATTTTAATATATCCTACTCCATTTATTAAAAATGTAAGGTATTTTTTAATACTTAAATATTAAAAAAAATATAAAATATTTTTAATATTTTAAAGTGTAATCATTATATTTTTATTAAATTATATTTATTTTAAAATAAAATATTATATTAAATAAAAATAAATATAAAAAGGTGATATTAATTTAAATACAAATAACAGATGAAATTCGGTCACATAGTTAAAAACAACTATGAGAAATTGGGCATGAAAATGATTGAATCTAAATGGAAAATTTATAGAAAATCCTACCATTCAAAAGAGCAGCTCTCCTCACAGTTCAGTTACATTCGATGAAACTAATAGGCGATTTTCCAGTTTGAACAATCGTAGGATGACTTCACATTTCTATATTCCAGGTTCAGTAATCTTCATTCATTCTGGTATTTTACCATCTGTGGTGGATCTGTTTGTTTATGAATATTGGCACGCATAAATTACTGAAATTCTCTTTGAAAGAGAGAGAGGGGGAGAGAACAGATCTTATTTACGTATTTATTATAACATTGCCAAAAATATTTGATTCCAAGTATCTGGGACCCCAGGCAAACACCAATGAATGCAATCGGCATTATTGGGGTCAGCTCTTTCCTCGTCCGTTAACAGTTTTCCTCCATTTTCGGTGTATACTGAGGAGTGACCATCGATCCTGTACTCTGATATCTGTGTGATGTTGATGATTTGTACAGGAACTTTCATCTTCTTCAACACTTTGGCTACCACACTCATTATGGTCTTATCAGAACCACTTCCCCAGTACTTCTTCTTCATTACTGGTTTTGTTTCGTTGAAGCATCTTAATCCTTCCTTGCTGCCCCAGTCTTGACTTCTGTAAACAAAAGGCATGCACATTTGTGTTATTATATTGTTAGAATCATGAGCTCCCTCGGCAGTAGTCACTGTACGTCTAGGTGTTTGAAGAATTGTCCCAAAGAACTGCTTTACTTGAAAAACTTGAAATCTTGCACAAATCTAGTTGACTAAAAAAAAAACCTAGTCAGATTGACCAAGATGAATTCTATATCAAAAAAGACCAATTTTTTTAGTTGGTCATAAAGTCTTCAATTTTGGATGCAGCTAACTTTATCTGATGGATTTGGAGTGATTTCAAAAGATTGATTTTCTTTGCTTTTGAGAGTCTTAACTCTTGAGCAACAATTCAGGCTGACTTGGTCCATGTGCAATCTAAGAACTAGGAGGGGAAAACTGAAATCTGAAGCTGATGTTTTCATAATTATAGGTTTCTTAAGGTTAGCGACACAAAATTTTAGGTGTTTGAAGCATTTCTTAGTGGCAATAGAAATCCAAAGTTGGAACATTAGAATAAAAAGCTTTTTAATGATTCAGGTTCACTTAACTCCTGGTTGTTCGAAGCATTGCCTCAAGCAGCAATTTGACTTAAAATGATATAAGTTGTTAGAGAAAGTTGAAGCTGTAGGTTTCCTTGGAGAGAGAGTGAGGGAAACCTTGTGTGTGTAGGGGACATAGTTGTAAAGAAGACCCTGGTTCTGTTTGGATCAATGGTTGAGTCTACCCAGTTGGCCCACGTCTTTAAAGCAATCTTGTAAGCCACTGGTGCATCCAATTCTTCATACCCTTCTTCTCCATTGGAAAATGAGCCCCATCTACAAATGCAAATATATTTCAGACCTTATTTTCTTCCTTTTGGTTGAACATAAAATACTAAAAGAAAACTTACAAGGATTTAATTCTGACACCACTCATCCACCAAACGTAGGTGTTGAAAACCAGGATATCGACTCCAGTCCAGTTTTTGGCACGCTCTGTGATTGAATCTACTTTTATTATCCTCTTCTTGGGATCACCTATTATATTGATATCTGTGTTGGAATTCACAAGATATGGGGCCCAGTAGAACTCAATAGAAGCATTGTATTTCTGTACATCAAATCAGACACAAAGGATTAAGTTAATTCGTTCTATCCATAAGCATTACCGATAACTCTTCTTCTATCTCTGTACATCTCTCTCTCTCTGTCACATTTCTTAGTAAGTCTACAGTTCAATACATTGTATTCATACCTTGGCTGTGAAGACTGGATGGATACGGTCGAGTTTCATGGATTTCTGATTATAAGGAATGATCCATTCGACCATGCACACAAGAGATTCCCATTGATTTCTCTGTAGTGAATCCCCAACAAATAGTAGCCTCTTTCCTCGCAGCTTCTTGAGGGCAAGCTTTGGATTAAATCTACCAAATATAGTCATGTCAGAATGTAGATCATGTTAAAACTAAGAGTTTATATGATCATGAAAGGGGGACACACACAGATTCACTTGAAATGAAGTGTTATGCATACGATCACACGCATGTTCAGAATAATATATAAATATATATATATATAGAGAGAGAGAGAGAGAGACTCGCCTAGGGATGCTACAATCCTCTGGCTGCCACTCCCAGTGGAGATACCGAGAATCTGGTCTTCCATTCTTGGCACAAGAAAACTGTCTATCAACATATGGGCAGCTTCTGTCTGAGTATAAAGGCTTTATTGACCTGTTAAATACCCATTTCCCATTTGCAACATTGCATTCTTCCGCATCAAACTCGAATCTATCATCTGTTAGCGAGGCATGCCCTATCTCCTCTGCTTTTTTATCACCTGTTATGTACAATCACCAATTTCAGTACACTGATCAGTACCCAAGAGTGGGTGTTAAGAATCTCTCTTCAAAATAGACTTTAATTTAATTCATTTGCTGGTGTGTTCACTCTGAACAGGATTATATAAAATCTCTGAAACTTACTAGATTTTGGGGTGGTTTTCCTTTTATGACAGCATTTGAACTTGAACAAGGAACTGGAGGAGAAAGAACTGAATATCTCTGCATAAAAGATGGCTATGAAGACAAGAGTACATGTTGCTGCAAAAATGATGGGCCAAGACAGTGTTCCTCTTGGAGGTTTCATTATGGGGAAGAGAAATGAGAGAAACTTATGTGCAGGACAGCAACAGAATGATGAGGAAATTGCAGAAAGGGTTTAAGGAGGATGGAGGTTTTATGGGATATTGGAGTAGGAGTGAAGTTAAAGCATAATATGATTTTGTTATTTTTTTTTTCATTAATACAAATAATGTAATGATGAAGTATACTGGAGGTTGAGGCATAAGTTAGAAGGCTAACATCCTCATATCATAATTATGAATTAGAGACCATGCAATTTTACACCTGTCATCAGTCATAATTCTTTCCATAATATGTAGGACATTATGGTAAACGGCAGGAGGAAAGCATGTAATTTGAAAGGCTTTTCATTTGGAAAAATTACATCGGAATACCCAAATCTTGACAACTTCGAATGAAAAAGATTTTAAAATTATAATTGCTCTTAAGGATCAAAGTTATTATTGTGTTTTCCAAGGCTAATTTTAAATTTTTAGAAAAGTTATATTTTCAATTACTTTGCAATAACATTTTTTTTAAAGATTTGTTGTATGCATATTTAATTTATAGTGTCTATAAGAGATCTAGACTATAGTTTACTTATTTTAGAAAAACTGAAACATTATTCAAATTAAATTTGGATGCTCAAGGATGAAAAGTTTCTAAAGAAAGATGTGATGTTTTGTACATTTTTGGCATGTTTTCCTTCTCTTACTCCCCCGCACGCTAGATTTGGTGTGTAACTAACATAAAGTGAAAGACGTCAAAAGTTTGTTGCTTGGATTTGCTCATTGGGTTAAAGTTACTCCTTTAGTCCTCTTATTTTATACATAAAAATATTCATTTAAACAACACAATAATCAACTAAATATATCAAAGCTTCCTATAAAATTAAAGTCTTTATTCGGCCAAACCATAAAATAGTAGTCAAAGGATGAATTGTGTGAGGGAAGATAAGATGTCAAAATACATGTTCTTGTCTTGTTGAATTGAGTCTATTTGAACATGACAAATAAGAGAAACCAGAACCCAAGAAAGGAAAATTGAGGATAATGATACAAATTTCAGGGGGGAAATTAAAATAACAGATGTACAATTATTGTGTGCCACTCAAAGTGAGGGGAAAATAATGCTAATAAGAAATTAAAAAAAAATCTGGGAAGCAGCAATGTAATGATGGATTATTGTTTTAGGCGGTTTGAAATACTTTCATTTAAAATAAAAATTATTCTTAATAAATTTATATAATTCAAATAAACTGAAAAATTAAATAGAAAATTATTTAAAATTAAAACAATCAAACTCCTTTTCTTAATCCATATCTGTTGTTTGATACAAAAATCTTACCTGTGAAAGCCACCCAAGATCTTGGCTTTGAAAAAAATTGCAATTAGGATTTGGACATTACAACCCCACGATAAAAAGATACAGTCGTTGCACTACCAAGTCACACTCTTCCAACAATAAATTGACATTCTTGAATCAAACAACAAATAAATGATTAATATAAAATTACTACAACAAAATCCTTAATCAACGAGAAGAACCTTATTGGAGGACACTGGAGGATTAAGGTTGGAAAAAATGAAAGATACAAACCCATCATCATAGATTACTGTTAAACAACAAAAATCCTCTTAGGTAATCCTAGGTCAACATCATCTAATCATAGAAATATTGGGTATTGGAGAGAGAGAAATTTAAGATTTTCAAAATTTGCATGCAATGCATTATATTGTTGCTTGAGAACTGGATTATACCTAACTCGTTGCATCAAAATCTTGCTTGCATGTAATTATTTGTTCCCTTTAATTTACCTCAGTGGACTTGGTACCAGTTCGCATTTTTTGGGGTTGTGTCTTTTGGTATTTGTAAACTCTTCCATGTTTGAATGATATGAATATAAATTTCTGCGGCCAAAAAATTAAAAAAAGAATCTTGACTTAGGGTTGCAAAGCCAATTTTACATCCAAAAGAAATTGAAATAAACCTTTCCCCCTTTTTCTCCTGTAGATTTTATAAAAGACTAAACAGAACATTAAAATCATAATTAAAATTCCTCCCTTATCTTCTTCACTAGAGGAAAGGTTGCTTATTAAAATCATCTCTTCTACTTCTAGTTCCTTTTCTTTTTTACTTTCTATAAAAAAATTTAAAATTTAAGTAAGTTTAAGAATTTACAAAAGAAATAGAATGGGAGGAAAATAGTATGAATGACTGAATGAAATTAGAAACCATGTGCCTTTTCATTTTGAAAAAAAAAAAGAGATTTTGATAAAATAATTTATAAATTACCTTTTAAAATTAGTCTTATAAGTATCCTTACAATTACAATATAATTTAGCTAATTTTGACAATATAATGATGATTGCTTTACTTGTGCATTTCGTTTTTCTCTAAACTCAATTTGAAGAATGGGCCCGCTGGTAACGTTAGCTATTGAATAGCAAAGAGAAGTCTGAGTTTTTTTTAGTGTTTATATCCCATCCCATCCCATCTTTTTAAAAAAAAAAAATTCAGATAATTGTGTGTGAGAGAGTTTCAAATAATATAATCCATATAACCTATATTTAGAGTTGAAAAAATGGGCTGGCTCGGCCCTATAGGGCCAACCCTTGACAGGCTCAGGCCTAAAAAGGCCAGCTCATTTAAGCCTGAATTTCCTTTGAAGGGCTCAATCCTAAAGTCTGGCCATTAGCATAACGGGCTTAAGGTCGACCTTGTAGGGTTCGAGCCCTTTTGCCTTTTTCTTTTCTATATTTTTTTTCAAATTAAAATTGGTTCAATCATTCATTTATGATATAAGCTAAACAACAAGAAACAATAAACAACCAAACTAACCACAATAAACAAGTAGCAATAAGCTCAACAAGTAGCAATATTCAAAAGAACAAAACAACATCTAAATGCGCTAGATGTCAGAAACACAATACAAATGAAAATGATAACATGCAATGAAGTCAAGATGAGCTGAATCTATTCAGTATCCACTACCAAGAACCATAGTTTCATGAAAATATTTAAATAAATACACATAAATACTCAACAACTCAAACATTGATAGCATCATCATTATCTTCTTCTTCTTTACTATCATCAAGCTCAACAAAATTCAACTGTGATCCACTTATAGCTCTCATTAAGGGCAAAAATATCAAGACTTTCTTCTTCTTCTTCACCTTCATTATCTACAACAAATAATAAACAAAAATGCTCACACAATTATAGTTATTATTTCTCATATTGTTTGCAATTTGCATGGTAAAAAAATGAATATAAATTAAAATTACCATTGTACATAAAACCATGTAACCAATTACGAACACAAATGATAGCCTAAACATTAGCTGAAATAATGAAACTCTGATACTTTGTTAAGACGCACGAACCAATGCTAAAAGCTAATTCACTAGCTACTGTAGTGATCGAAATGCTAAGAATATCAGTCGCCATCCTTGAAAGAATTGGGTATTGATGTTGATTACTCTTCCACTAGTTTAAGACATCTAATTCTTTCCAACTATTAGGCTTCAGTATTAGTTCCTCCAAATAATTTTCAAGTTCAGACTTATCTAAGGAAGAATGGTCCATAATTGCATAAATATCTTGATAATCCTGCATCATATATGTATAAATGATTAAAAAAATATCAAAAAAAAATACTAGATTAATGAAAAAGGTGAAAAAATTTAAAAACACAAGGAATTCAAAACTTACATCAAAGGCATTATCAAAAGAGGTTGATGTTGAAACACTTGAAGCCAAGAAAGAATGATGAATAGTAACTATTGAAGCTTTATAATTTGATCCACTTGCAGCCCCATCAACTCCAAGATTGGTAGATGTCCCCATACTTGAATATTCATTAAACATGAATATTAACTTGCTCTTAATATTAGCAACCTTCTTATGGCAAGTGATAGGGTCAATCTTCATATAGCAATATTGTATTATATTAAACTTCCATCTTGAATCAAAAACTACTGCAAGTGCAAGAATGACACTGTACTCATTCTAATACTTGTCAAACTTTTGTTTCATTTTCCTAGCCATCTCTTGAATCACAAGATCAAGGCTCTTCATATTTGCATCAAGCAACACCTCAATTTTAGAAATTTGCATAAAATAAGAGTTTGATGTACGATATGATGACCCAAAAATCAACCTTGTAATCTTCCTAAATGGCCTCAAGAAGCTGCACATTACATCTGCTCTAGACCACTCATCATTTGTAAGACCAAACTTGTAATTTGTACCATTGACAGTCATGTGTGCAAAAGCACGACAATATTTAATTCTACTTTCAAGTGTTGTGTAAGTGGAATTCCATCTAGTGGGCACATATAGTCGCAAGCCCATTGAGGTGTTAATGCTACCAACTTACTTAACACATTGTTTAAAAAGAATTGACCTTGCCTCTGATGCTTTCACAAATTTAACACTTTCTCTAATCTTATGCAAAGCAGAACTTGTAACTTTCAAACCCTCCTGAACTATCAACTTTAGAATATGAGCACAACACCTCACAAGAAAAACTTCTCCATTACTTACTAATTTGAAATCATCTTGCAAACTCAACCTCTCTTTCAATATGTCCCACATATTATCATTTGCAGATGCATTGTTTAAGGTAATGGAGACTATCTATTCTCAATCCCCCAATTAGTCAAATATTCATGCACTTTTCTAGCTAGCTCTATCCCAAAATGTGGAGGTTTCATTTTACAAAATGAAAGTATTTTACTACATAATTTCCACCTTTCATCCACAAAATGAGTTGTCAAACAAATATACTCTTCAGAAGTCATAGAAGTCTAACAATCAGATATCAAACAAATTTTACTATTACTTCTCTTCAACTTTTATTTCAGATTTTCTTTTTGTCGAAGGAAGAATTTCATAACATTAGCAACAACAGTTTTTCTAGTAAAGAACCTAACATTAGATTCAATGTCAAAAGTAGTTCTTTGATCCTCTTGTATTCAACAAAGGAATAAGGAAGATCATATTCAATTATGGCCATAGTTATAATCCTCTGAATTCGCATATTATTAATTTTGACACCAAATATTGCCTTCTTTATCCAATAAATCACCCCAATATCATGAAATTTGTCCAAAACTTTACAAGATGTAGCATGCCTATTTAAATGTGAGGTACCATTAGCCCCACTGGATGCTAGTAAAGTTTGACAATTATTATAACATCCCAAGTTTTAATTCCTTAATTAATTAAACCTAATTAGGGTAATTAAGTAAGTTGAAGTGATGTATGGCTAGAGAAATCTAATAATCATATTTAGTCGTATTTCAGCCCTAGTTGTGGGTCTGGTATTGAGGCGGGCCACCCGAGCATCGAAAGGAGAAGAAAAAGAAGAGTTGAAGTTGTTGTGCCATACGTCGTAGTGTATAGATCATCCGCCGTGGCACACAGCCATTTCTGAGAGAGGGAAGACCTCTTTGTGCCATATGCTGCCATTTTCTGTAGTTTATTAGACACGAAATGAGATAGAAATAGAGAGAAGAGGAAAGAAAGAAAGGACGCACCAATGCTCTGTTAGGGTTTACTTGGGGATGACTTTCATAGTATTTTAAAGGCTACAAATACTCAAGATAAGTATCATACTCATTAATCTCCCTATTTCTTCTATATTTATGAATTTATGGCTAGGGTTTGATAGTGAAAGTGAGATTTTAGTCTATGGGTTCAAATTTATTGACTCAAATGAAGTTAATAGGAGTAGATTAGAATATTTAAACCTAGGTATATTGAGTTTTGGTATCTTGGGTTGTTGGGCACCATTAGTGTTTGAAAATCCCATTTATTATGGGTGGTTAGAAGTTTGTGATGCCATTAATGGGGATTTAATGGCTCATTAATGCTATTAGGGGCTAAAGGTAATTATTAAACTCAATGGTTAGGCTCCACCTCTTGTAAAGTGAAGGTTCAGCTATTTAGAAGTAGAGATTGAAAGTTTAAATGTTGAGTTAATTATGTTGATGGAATTCAACTTGGTTGATTGTAGTTTTGGCTCTTGGTCACCTATTGGAGTGGAAATTCAAGCTTGGAAGCTTATTAATTAAGGGGTAAACTTTGACCTCTTAAAGGTTTGAGGTAACTGAGGGAAAATTCTACTTTGGGTAGTTATATGTTAATTGATTGTTAATTGGTTGTTGAATGTGAGTTTGTGAATGTTACATGCATAGGATGGATTGTTAAATTAAAAACTATGTATATATTTCATTGAGTGCATGGAAACACTATTTTTGACTTGAAAATGCAACATGCAAAGTCAAGAGGATTTTAACTATGAACATGCTTTTGTTGTTGAAACATGAATGAGATGACGTGTAGAGGTATTTGTTCGTTGATGAGAAAATAATGAGAATACACACTTGGGTAGCACAAGTTTGTGAGCCCAACATGGTTGTTGTAATAGTGAGTAAATGAAAGTGAAAAAGCAAACACAAGTGGGTATTGATTATGACATGATTAGTGACAGGAGTTTGCCTAGGGATTGAGAGTAGAGAAAAACTCATATGGTATTTAGGCCGCGCTCCGATGCACAGGGACTATAGCCTTGTCCCACTGTTTGTCGAGGGACTGTCCTATAATTTATCGAGGGACTAAAACCCAGCTATCTCCACCGGTTCAATGAGGAGAATAGCCTAGGGTATAAGACACCCTAGGAATTCGAGAATGGGGGAAGCCATGGTCCGAGAGTGAGTCCTGTGATCTTTGGCTAGGTCACACCTCACGATTAATGAGCTTGGGTAATCCAATCACACAGACGGAGCCCTAATCAATGTTATAGCTCATGGTTTTAATCTAAGAAAATAAAGAGGATATAAGGTTGGTTGATCATTGCCTAAGAGTATAGAAGACGTGTCACACGTGCTAAGTAGTGGTGAGTTGCAAGAGTATGGGTCATGTCACATATCTAAGAATATGGTGACAATGTACCTAGTTATGTGAGTAAAGAACCTATAGAGTGATAAATGATAAATTGTGATATATGTGGACTTGTTTTACATATTTGATTTCCTTGTGCATATATTTTTTTTATAATTGATATATAATTGCATAGGATAGGTTTAACATGGTTATTAAGTGACTAGACTCACCCCTCTTATTTAATACTTTTCAAGCTCTAACTCTGGTGTTGAGAAGGAGAGGCCTAAAGAGGCAGGAAATTAGCATATTTCTACTGTATATCTCTAGTTTAGCTTTAATTGTGTAATGGTATATGAATTGCCAATTCTAGGATGCATATTACCACACTCACACTATTTTAGTTGTTGAAAATGTTAGAATTGTATTTTGAGCCCTTAGCCTTTGTGTATGTTGATATGTGTGTGTGTGTGTGTGTGTGTGTGTGTGTGTGTGTGTGTGTCTATAGGGTCAAAATACTAGTGCAAGTGTAGAAATGAAGATTTGAGCATGTTCTGAATGATTTGAGTTAAATGCAATGGCAAATTATCCCCGTTTGGTTTTTGGTAAAATGGGGTTGAGGGGTGAATTTTTGTTATACTAATATTTCAGTGCTTGTGATGTGTTGTACTGATAATCCTAGGTCTATTAGATATGGTTCAAGTGTTAGAAAAAACTTTTAGCACTTGTTGAGGGTTTTAGACACCCATTTTGTGTAAAAGTATTGAAAGTGGTTAAATTATGTTTGGGTGTCTAACTTCCTAGTGTGACATGTTTTAGAAATAAAACCCATGCCATTAGCTATTTCATATAAAGAGCTTTCTATAGACACCCAGATCACGTCATTCGAACCACGGATGGAGAATTGGGGCAAGTTAGAAGTTCCCCCGATTCTGCTGTCAAGTGACAGCAGAATCAGCAAAAATTTTGTGCAACGCGCCACAGTGCATGGCACCTGAGCCGCAGCGCATGGCACAGAGAGTAACACGCTGCAACAAAGCATGCACAAGCCATGGCATATTGCTCTGTATCACAACACATGTTTTGTTTTTTAACTGTTTTCGATTTCTTTTACTCTTCTGAGGTATTCTATGCTTTCAAAACTTACTTTTACTCTGATATAAAAGATTTTAATTGATTTTAACTCATTTCTATTTAAAAAACTTAGGATTCCTTCTTTTGGATTAAAACTTGGTAATCACTCTTTGAGCTAATCCTCTGATTATCATAAGTTTTATTTATTAATTGTGTTTTAGTGGTGTGAGAATGTTTTAGCCATTACACCTTGCTTTAAGTTTCCCATTAACCTTAATTCTAGAAAAATACTTCCAAACATCAGAGGTTAAAGTTTTAGCTTTTTTAGACTTGGATTCATCAGTCTCTTGAACAGAAGAACATGACTTACCTCTGGACCTTTGAGTTTTCAATTCATCATCCACCTACACGTCCTCTGCCTCTTGAACTACACTAGCAAGCACTTTTCCTTTATCTTTTCCAACAACATTGCCACTGCCAGTAGCTAAACTAGGGATCATACCACTCATAACCAATGTTCTATCATCACACTTGACTAAGTCATTGCTACAGACATTGGTTGCCTTTCTCTTACTCTTGTGTGATTGTGAGGCAGACATTATAAATTTCAAATACTGTCTACCTACTGCATTACATCAAAGTAAAAGGAATAAATTACTCATAAATTAAAGCTGGAACAGAACACCTAAATACCCAAGCAAAAGAGGAGAAATCTCAAACCTGTGCAAGCAACTATGTGTGATTTAACAAATGAAGGAAGGTCGAAGATTACGAGCACAACATTGATGAATGAGGACTTTATGAACTTAGGAACCGAGAATATTATCGCGACTTTGTGAATTTGCGAGAACAGAGAACACGCAAGCAAAAGAAGAGAAGTCTTCAGCCTTAGTGATTGGTGAACTTGTGTTCAGACTGATGGGAGAAATACGTTAATGCACGACCTCCAAGGTAATGGTAACACGGTGAAAGATCGGCGTCACGACGGGGGTTAGAACTACATCCTTTAAATGTTGATTTTGAGTTGAGGAGGGAGATCGGACGACGGCGAGCTGTGAGGAAAACACGACAGCTAGCAGCATGGAACATAGATCAGACAACAATCAACGGCGGAGGCGACTACAGCAGTGGATGTCCTCTATGACGAGAAGATTTAGAGATAAGAGCGCTCATTCACACAGTTCACTGAACGTGATGATCGCAACTTCATTGTCCCCATACTCAGGCGCAGAGCCTTACAACCTCACTTTACTTCTGTCTTCAGTCTTCACAGCCTCAAACCGATCCAAAAGACACATGAAAGTAAACCAAGATTTAGATTAGGTTTGGTTTTTTTTTAACTCCCTCCTTTTGTCCTTTAGTAAATATGGGCTCTAGCTCACACAATTCTTGTCTAACCCACCAGTCATCACTCGTCATGTCCATGATATAAAAAAAATTATAAGGGCTTAAACGGGCTGGCCCTCAAATTAGGGCCTAAACGGGCCAGCTCGTTTGAGACCGTTTTTCATTTTAAGATCCTAATTGTAAGCTCGACCCTCCTATTGTAAAGGTTAAACGAGTAGGCCTAATGGGTTTAGCCCGTTTTCCCAACTTTACCTATATTGGTCATTACAGCTCTAGCCATTCATTCAACCACAACCTAATATAACTAGAGCGGGTAATTTGGTTGAAGCCCAACAAGCCAGCTTTAACCCTCACAAAAAAAGTTAAGTTTGAGCTTGACTATATAAGCTTTTTTTAAAAAATAGAATACTTTAAACTCAATTCGAATAAACTCAACTTGAATTAAACCAAACTCGAATAAGCCTAATCGTCAGAATTTTTCTGACTTTAGAGGCATATGAAGTTGATAATTTTAACTAAGCCTAATGGGTTAACCCAAACCTAACCAAAAAAAGCTAGAACCGAGCTTGGCTAAAAGGATAAAATATTTTAAGCTCAATTTGAATAAGCCCATCCTGCCTATATTACCAGCTCTAAAAATAAAAACTTAACTATTGATTAAAAAAAGACAATTTTGCTATATTCAGTATCCTTCCATTGAATGAGTCTTTCCCACACGCAAGAATGCCAAATCCATCCAAATGAGAAAACTCATTTCAATAAGAAAATATATGGATCTACAACAGCTACGCGTACACTAATCAGTTCAAGCATTAGCACCTATAAATACAGGGAAATAGTGAAGAAAAAAAAGGGAGTTAGATGGCAATCTGCCAACCTAACTCACTTTATCTCCTCAATCAAACATTTGCCCTTGGTTTTCGGTTTACTTTTCAATCCTTCCCTTCTATTACTCCATTCCAACTCCATGACAGATGTCTTTTCTGCTTGTACAATGGCAGCCAAGGAACACCAAGCTTCCTCATGCTGCTCATGAACCCAACACATGATGAAATATACCTTCCTTTGTGCCATTTTAAGATTACTTCTAATCTCATCCCTCCTCTGTTTTCTGGGTTTACTAGATTTGAGCTCCTTTTCCCCTGATTGAATCAACCGGTTCATATCAGAAAGGGCGCACACCAAAGCAGAACTTCCCAATGAAAGTAAACCTATCACATCGTCAATTAGATTCAAACCAAATTGTAGCCCTCCCATGTGTCTATAAGCTGGCGAGCACACCTGCTCCAAGCAATAAGAGAGAGCTTCAAGTACACTCTCTGGCTGCTCACCTTGACCCAAGACTGAGGAAACACTCAATGCAACCATTGCTGACCCTAAAGCATCTGACCTCCAGTCTCCGTTGTACAGGCGAAGAGTGAAGCAGTAGCTATACAAGATATCAACCAGGTGAACGGTTAAAAGGGGCGACGGCTCTCTTGAACTAAGACTGCTAACCGGAGGAAGTGGGGTTTCAGGACCAGGAGGGATGTCACTGCATTCATTAATTCCAATGACATCTTCCACTTCATTCTCCTCTGAAAGGGGATGGACAAGTTGAGTTCCTTCCTTACTCAAAGAGATGTTTCTAGCAGAAGGCTTGAACCACCACGGATCCCATGGTTTAAACATCTTGCTCAATTCCCCTGATGCAATGGCCCTTTGAAACCGCTTCTTCTCTTCCATGGATAAATCATCAAAGCTGACTTCACCTCCTGTAGATGTGGAAGACAAATGAAAGCATAACTGCCTCAGACAACTGTGGGATGCACAAGAAAAGATGATTTTGAAAAGTAAAAATTTTAGATGATCCTACTACAAATTAGCATTTCCGGAAATACGAACCACATGCAGTGTAAAGCCAAAACAGTAAGGAGATACACAAGCAACTTATAAGCAAACACAAACATCAACAACTATAGAGAATATAATGGAAAATACCAGACAAAACCTTCTCTATGATCTCCGCAGACAGACTAGGATCTACGAAAGCCAAGAAAACAACCAGCTATTAGTAGCATTCTTTATTAGCACTTTGGATAGCTCAAAAGAACTAATAGTAAGAATAGCTAGAACAAATTTTTAAAGTGATGATCACAAAATAATAACAGCACACTTCTGCAATGAGAATTCATACAAATTCTCAGATTAAATTACTGCCCAACCTGGGCTTCGGAACCTTGAAATGCTGCTGTACATCAATCAGCAACTAAGTTGCAACCTTATAGTATCAATCATTTACAGAAATAACTCTATATACCATAAACATTTATTTAAATAAGCAAAAAAGGGCATAAAACGCATGGAAACGTTAATACTTTTTCTTACTAATATTGGTGAAATATAGTTCCCGGTACTACGCAGTCAATATTCCAACTTTACTGAGAAAAAATTGTCAATGAAAAGTGAATATTATCCAGTTTCAAACGAGAGTGGAGAAAAAATTCCAAAAGGACTGACAGAACAGTAAAAATATGGAGGCTTACAATCCTCATCCATACTATCAGATTCCTCTTCTGAATGATATCTTTTCAGTATGTCTAGCATTTTCTGTTTGGTTTCATCATCAGGATGCATTTGCTGAAGCTCCTGAACTACATTTTCTTGCATGAATGATTCAGTACAGCGAAGACTGTGAGACTGTCCAAATTACAAAAATCAAGGATCACTAATCCCAATAATTATATCTTATAAGGAAAAAAAAATAGAAGTCACAGTATATATGCATGCTCTGTGTGTACGTGTGAGAAAAAGAGAATGAGGGCATCAACTAATTTTCAAAATATACGCATTCATTGAATGAATAACCAATTGCCGAAACGAAAGTCCTATCTGAGGAGATGGACTCCTTCACATTCGCTAATGTAAAAGAAGTTCAAAAAACATATCCACGTCTACATATTCAAACACTAATACACCAGAATATTTGTCTGGTTGGATAGGCATCTTCCAAGCATAGCCTAGAGAAACCTTATACATTTTCAGAGCGGAACCAATACCATCCTCTAAATTGAAAGATGTGGCAGATGCAAAATGAAGAGGAGAAATACAATGAAGCAAAACAAAGGAATCCACGTCAAAAATATCCTTGATGATGCCATACCTTATCAATCATTCAAGTGAATAACCAAATATATAAACCAGCTTAAAAATAATTATTCCCCGTATGGTAAAATTTTTCAAGTAAAAAAATTTGGGAGGATATAATTTCATGACAAGCCACATAATGTAATCGGCCACAATTGTTTAATGATATAGGAGCCATTGAAAGAGCTTTTGACACATGACTTATCATCAAAACATTGAACCAGCTCAAAATCAGCATTAGTGCAACTCTGCTTACTTTGTAGCATTGGAGAGAACAGTATCGCGAATTGCATCGAGGGCATGTGTACTGGGAAAATTGCTTATGACACCTGTCTTAAAATAATTTGAAAAAAGGAGGCAAGTAAGGGGAGGGATTTAATCAGTACAAATACAAAGAAGAAACCTTTGAAAAGAAATGAAGAGAAAAAAGATTAACTTTTATAGCAAATACTAACATGACAGGGAACTTAAAAGAAGCAAATCAATCAAAGGCTGCAAATTTCACCTTTGAATATATTTTTAACTAAATGAAGCTGAAAATTTCAATGTTTCTGCAGAAAGATGTCCACCCATAGATTTAAGGGTATTTGTAATGCTTTTCCTTTAATCAAATTACCCATTTCCTGGTAAGCCACCGGTTACCCACCATGTCTAATGAAAAAACAAAATTCTCTTAATATTAAGCAACCTGTATGCTTCCCTTGAACGACCAGTCAAAATTATGACTTACATTCGATCACTAAATTAACAAGATAGGGAGATATATCATCAGTAAATTTTTTGTTGGCGCCTCAAACCTAAGAAAGAGCCCTTAGCACATGACATGACATGCTCCAAAGCTCACTTGTCAAGGTACTTCATTTAACCTCTCAGGAACCCACTCAAAAAGCATTGGTAATACTGTGACTATCCTAGTATCCTCGCAAACACAACATAATAAATTTTTTTAAAAAAACAAGACATTTCTACTTTTAACGGCTTGGAAAAATAAATAAATAACTACCAAAATCAGAGATAAGAATTGCTAGCATAATTACTGATTAAAAGTTGGATGAACATACACGTGGCAGATTATCCGAGGAGGGTTGAGCGATGAAGGAGTCGATGGTTTGTGAGAAATAAATGTTTCACCCTCCATAATCAAACCTCCAAACAGATCACTTGCTTTCCTTTACAGGAATTCAAAAAGCAAGAAACAAAATCACTTCCTAGATAGCCCGATCAAGTTGATAATTTTCAATTCAAATGCTGATGCAAAACTATGGAGGAATCGCAATATTCTACAGCATGAAAATCGAAATCATTTTGGCACTCCTATGTATGGCATGGTTAGTGAGTGCGTAATTATACAGGAAAACTGCAAGTCTGCAACCCTCCAAGCCCTAACAAGAAGAAGGATGGTATGACAAATTGGAGTTGTGCACTCAGCTGCCAAAAAAAAAAAAAAAGACAACACGGTTATTCAAAAATGCTTTTTCAGTTTTTGGTATCAGTTAAACATTTAACAAAAACTGATCTAGTTTCGAAATTGGTACACGCCTTGTAAAAAATGTAGAAATAACACTTGAAAAGGAAGACTTCTTCGAATACATGAGCTTAAATTACAACAGAAAATATTTAATTCATGGTACAGTGGCAACACTACCTAAAGGGAAATAAATACAAACACAGCTAAAAGAGAAGCTATTTATATTCTTGGCTGTCAAATTAGCACCTAAATAGATACAATCATACAATTCAGTAAAATGCTGCGTACAGAATCGTTCAGACAGATATGGTTTGCCCAAATTTTACTCATTCACGCGGGATTGAGGGCGTGGAAAATGCCACTACTTGGATAAAATAGTTTGTACAATCAACAAACTACCAGAGCAAACAGCCAGAAAAATGGAAGAAGAAGAAGAAGAAGAAGAAGAAGAAGAAGAAGAAGAGGAAAAGGAAGCCTTTCCCATTCTTAAAGAATTGAATCATCACAAGAACGAATCAGCTCCATTTTTAACCAACCCAGCAAGTTCAAATTTGAGGGGGGAAGGTCAGAATATAAAAGGTTACCTCTGGGAAGCCTCTCAGTTGTTCGACTCAATCAAAAAGTCGAAGCCTACTCTCGTGCTTTCTTTCTTGTGTTCAATTCGGTTTCGTCCTCCTTACTCTTCGACTGCTGGTTCTATCTTTTGAAGTTGGTTCTCTTTTGAACGGGCATGCAGATTGTTTAACCAAACGGTTTCTTTGCTTTAGTTGTTGTCAGTGGGTTTAGCCTTTTCTGATGCTTCGTATCTTGTTGTCTTCCAGGACGGTCGGAAGTGGAGAACGGTTCTGTCCTTCGGCAAGAATGATTCGGACGTGAAAGAGGTTCTTTGCCGTCGTCCAGTGGTGGTCGAATCAACGCCGAGGAGGCGGAATTCGGGCGGCTGGAAGTATGCAAAAACCTGAATCTATATATATATATATATATATATATTTTCCATTATATGCGACCTTCTGGAAAGCAGGCGAACAATCAGCTTTCTCGCCCGAAAAATGAAAATGAATAAAACGGGATCAGCTTAGCTCCGCTGGACGTTGCGCCTACGCTGAGCTCAAAACACTGCGTCTCAATTATGAAACAAAATCTTGACTGTCAATTTTACCAAGCAATCCCTGCCTTTCATTGCCATTTTAATTTAATTTGTTTTTCATTATTCTTCAACAATTATTCGTTCCAGAGAGGGAAAATCATGCCTTACCTCCAAAAAGTTTTGTTGCCAGAGTTTGGGAAGAAAATCTTATCGATGGAAAAGAGATTTCATTAAAATCATACAATAATGAGTAAAATCTTGTTATTTTCATCAATGAGGAAGAGGGGTAAATTAGCTGGCTGTATATTTTTGTCAATGGGTTGATGCTTCCTCTTGTTTTTATCGGTGGTTGTTTCTTCATTTTATATACATGCAATTTTATTTATATAAATATATTGCTCACTTGATTGCTTGTTTTAGACCTCCGTATGTGTATTGCATATATAACTTCAATTTGATTTTATAACATTAATCTTGCTTCTTCGTGGCTCATACGTGTTGGGTGACTGGATTTGTTTTATAACTTTGTTCTTACATCTTCTTGGTTTGTATTTGTTTTATTTATAATTAGTTAAGGAGAGAAGCCATGTCTTATGGTGAAGCCAGATGCATTTTTGGCTACTTTAAAGAACAATTGATAGAAAATACATCTTTTTTTTTTTCATGCTCATCAAATGGATTTGGAGAAGCAAGTTACAAATGTGTTGTGGGCTAATGCACATATGTTGATTGACTATGCTTACTTTGGAGAAGTTTTTTCACTTGATACAACTTATTGTACAAATTGTGATCATAGATCTCTTGCTATTTTCTCTAGCATAAACCATTATAAAGGAAGGGTGATATGTAAAACTGCCTTATTATATGATGAGACTATTGAAAGTTTTAAATGGCTCTGAGACTTTTTTGTGTGCAAACAAAAATGTGAAGCCATTAACTGTTTTTATTGACCAAGATACTATAATGGTACGAGCATTACAAGAAGTGATACCAAATGTATCACATGCCTTGTGCATATGGCATATTTCAAGGAATGCAATAAGTATCTTAAAAACTTGTAAAATAATTAGTCCCATATCTTGAGTGATTTTAACCATTGTATGTATCATTGTTAGGATGAAACAAAGTTTGAAAAAGCATGGAAAAAATTATTATTAAAACATAATATGGGAGGAAACACATAGTTAGTGTCCATGTATGAAATAAAAGAGAAATGGGCAACATGTTACATAAAGAGCTTAAGGACACTTGGTATGAGAAACATTAAATTAGTGAAAATATAAATGCATGTGTAAAGAGTTGTACGAGTCCTAAATTGAATATCAATCAATTCTTTCAAAGGTTTGAACAAGCTGTAGAAAACAAGTACTATAATATATTGCAACGTGAATTTGAGACACATGATGTGTTAGCAAGGTTGATATTGCAGAGTTCATATATGCTTCGTTAGCTTTTTAAAGTTTAGACTATTGAAAATTATATTCTAAGGCCAATCATTATATCATAAATATTATTATTTACTGAATTTCTCTTTTGTTATTTGATAAATTTCTCTTTAGTTGTCAAATTTTAAATCAGATTAATTGAGCCTGAATTAGATTAATTGAGTTTATTAGAGAGGTGTGGCAAGAAAGGTCTAACGGGCGTGTTTAGTTATTTTTCCAGCCCTAAACACAAATTTGAAGGAAGTCGGGTCACCCAAGAATAAAAAGAGAAAGAAAATCTGAAGGGGAAGGCTCTATGTCATGCATCACGACTCATAGATCAGGCCACCATGGCACATGCCTGGGGAAGATGCCCTTTGTGCCATGTGTCACGGTGCATTGTGGGTTCGCCGTGGCTCATGGACACTTTTTTGCTGTAATCAGATCTTGAAATAAAGCAAAAAAAGAGAAGAAACAAAGGAGAAGCAAAGAAGCAACTGAAGGGCAATGCTAGGGCTTGGGAGATTTAAAGTTTTAGAGTGATTTGAAGTTTCTAAACATTAGAGGTAAGATCCTCAAGTTTAAATCTACTTATTTCTTCCATTTTTCTTGATGATGGAAGTTAAGATTTGGTGAATAATGATGATTTTCAATCTATAAAGGCGATAAATCCTAAGCTATTGACTTAAATAGAGTTAATGAGAGTAAATTGAGCTAATGAAACTTGATATTTATGGATTTATAATAATTGATGTTTAGGGAGCATTTAACATCTAAAAATTCCCTATAAATATGTTAGTTGGGACAATGTGACTCCATTAATTGCTATATAAGGGTTCAATGAGGTCAATATGGGTTAGAAGAAGTTAAGAAACCCTATAGGTATTTCTGTTGGAGAAAAAGAATGGATCTCGAGCATGAAGAAGTGTTGAGTTAGTAATGAAAATTATCCAAAACTTAGATATTGATGAATTATATCGTAATTTTTTATAGAGTAATCACTTTGGCACCATTTAAGCTTTTTGGAAGCTTTGGGAGTGAGTATTTGAGAGGTGAAACCTTTAACCTCTTTAAGATAACTGGGAGAATTCTACCTTATGCATTAATTAGTTTATCATTTCATAATAGAAATGTGTGAATTAAATAAAATGTGAGTATGGTATAAACTGCTTGAAAATCCACTATGATGATTCTTGCACAAAAATGCAATGATATGTTAAATACAATTCTTTAAAACCTTGTTAGTGAATTTTTATGTTATGATTTCTTGGGAGTTCAATAACTGCACTAAGTGGAGTCAATTGATTTGATATGTGAATGGTACAATGAAATCAAAATCGTAAAGTTCAAAAAAACATGAGGTTGATGAGCTCAATGAATTTATGAATGAGAAATTCAATAAAATAGATAAGTGGAGTTAAATAAATTGATTGTCTCTATTATATGATTAGCATGTATATGATTGGGTACAATGATGCGATGATACATACTTGATTTTTAAGTAAGTGTGTGCTTTTAATTATGTATATCTATGCATTGCATGATATTGAGAGGCGAGAATTCACTTAGATAAAGGAGTATAGATTTAAATCCATGTGATGAGGCTTCCATTCGAGTTGATGGCATGCCTGGATTGTTGTTTATACATTGTCCCAATTATTTAACGAGAGACTGTCCCACTAGTTCAATGAAGGACTCGAACCTAACTAGCTATCTACTAGTTCAATAAGGAAGTTAGTCTAGGGAGAATGACACCTCACAGTGTGAGAAATGGGGAAAATCATGTTCTATAAGTGAGTAGGGAGAACCTTGGCCAGGTAACCCCTCACACGTGTTTAGGCTAGGGAAGTATCAGATCATAGACTATCCCAATGTGTTAGAGTCCATGGTTTCATGTCAGACGAATAAGGAGAATATAAAAGCGATGTGATCATGCATACAATGAAAAATGGCACATGATTGTTATAGTGTGACCCTAATGAAATAAAGCATGTAAAAACCTTGTTTTTAATGACATGGCCTTGATTAATTAATATCTTATGAGTATGCATTATGGTGAATGAGAATGCAAATGTAGACTCTTGAAAACATAATTTATGATTTGATATTAATCATTGTCTCATGTGTATGCTTTAAACCAAGAGGTTGAGTTACACTCTTAAACATGTCCATGTTTTGAAATTATTTGATTTGCCAATTGTATTTAAATTAATTGACATGCATTAGTATGAGTTAGTTGAACCTTAGTTAATGAGTGGTTATAGTTATCCCACTATTTTCAATATTATAGGAAATATCTTAAAAGGATCAGACAGAGGAAAACAATCAAAGGCATAGTATTTGATATTCTAGTAGTAGGCCTCTTTCATCTTTTGAGTTGTATGTGTATATGATTATTAATATTGCCAAATAGAATTAATTCATTGCGACTTATTTGCACTATATGTTATGTGAAATTTTAAAGTGTATTTTAGGCTCTAAGGTGTATGTACAGGAATTGTGATGTCTATAGTAGGGTCAAAATATTAGTGCAAGTAAAAGTTGAGTATGTTATGTGATTGTTGTGGATCATATGATGAAATGTGAGTTTTGGGCTCCCTCTTCTATTTTTAAGATTAAGGGGTTGACTGTCAAAAATGTGATTTATAAGTGTCATGAGCAAACTAATGTGTTGGGCAATTTCATTTTAGTCTGTTATATGTGGTTGAAATGGTATTTCTAGCTTTTGGCTTGTGGAATGAGTTTTGGACACTTTATTTTGTGAAAAAAATGTTGTAAAATTGGAAGTTTTGAAAAGAGTGTCCAAATGTGAGTAATAATTTAGTTATGAAACCAAAGCCATTAGTTATAACTTGAAAATAGCTTTCTGTAGACATCTAGTTCACATCAATCGAATATCGAATGGAGGAATGGGGCGCGTCAAAAATTGCCTAGAAAGCTGTCAATTTGACAGCAAAATTTTGCTGGCATAGAACGTGCAATGTGCCATAGTGCATGGCACAGAGGCGAGCAAGCCGCAGTGCATATTCCTGAAAGCCACATAATTGCATTGTTTTATGATTTTTAAGCAAATTTACTAATCCTTAAAGTGATCTCATACTTTTGCATAGGTAATAACTCTAATTTGCCCGTTACAAAGTCTTTTAAAAAGGCCTTTAATTTTAAAAACTTAGGATCCCATTTTTACAACTTATTTGCGAAGTTGGTAAATTTGTTTTTACCTTAATCTAATTTTTTAATTAATTGAGATTTGGAGTTAATTATGGATTTGAGAAGGAGGATATTATAATAACTATATCATTGGATAAACTATAATAATTGTCTTAAATGTTCTTAGTAAGTCATCTATGATTCCTCATATATGAAATAAGACTAGCATTACTTTAATTAATTACAGAGATATAAATCAAAATCGTAGGCACTTGAAAGGGTATAAGGTGCTAGACTGACCCATTATGAGAAAGTTGTATGGTATAAATCATGAGCTTATATCATATATAACCATATAACCATGTCATTAAGCCTTTTGACATGAGATTA